GGGGGGGGTGACCCCGCGAGGTGCCAGCCTGGAGCCAGGCTCAGTCAGTGCCTCCCCCGGGCACCATCTCTCGGGGCCTGAACCTCACAGAGCCGGGGGTCCCAACTTGGGGGTCTGACGCCACGTCCCGTGCATGCCAGTCTGACCCCCACCCACCCGGGCCCCTGAGCCAAAACTATGGTGGTTTGGGTTTATGGGTTTTGTTTTTTGATACTCCTGGCGATGCTCAGGGCTGACTCCTGGCTCTGCACTCAGGGGTCACTCCTGGTGGTGCTCAGGGCCCTTTTGGGGTGCTGGGGGTTGAGCCCCGGTCAGCCGCCAGCCATGCTGCAGCCCCCCTTTTTTGGGGACCCTCGAGGGTCCCGCCTGCAGACGGAGTGCTCGGGGGCCTCTGGGACCTGCTCTTAGGGCCGGGGCCACTACTTAGGCTGACCAGAGGCCCCTCACCCGTTCGGGGTCTGTGGACACGCGCAGAGCGGACCCTCCAAGCCCACCCCGGGGAGTCCAGCCGCAGTGGGGGGGGCCCAGGAACCTGTGGGGGCCAGTGCCAGGCCCCCAACTCCGGACTGGTGCCCCGAGGGGAGTTCCCCGCCCCCCACCCCTCGCTGGCGAGCAGGAAGGGCAGCGGGCGGCAGGGGCCGCAGGGGGACCTGCAGGTGCCCACTCAGAGTCCTTCCTGCCCGCTCTGGCCAGACACATGCCCTGCCCGGTTCCTCTATTCTCCCCAGCAGCCCGAGAGATCCCGGGAGGCCGCCAGGAAGGGGCTCTTCTAGGGAGCGGCCGAGGGGCCGGCCCGGGCAGGCTGGACACGGCCACCACTTCCCCGTGGGGCGGGAGCGTCTGCCAGAGAAGGAGCACCCGGTCCCAGGAGAAGCTCTCCTGGCCCATGTTGTGACAGGCCTGGAATGTGTCCCTGCCCCGGGCTCCCAGCTCTCAGGCCTCCGCCTCCAGGAAGGCCCTCTTGCTTGCTCCCAGCTGTCCCCCCTTAATCTCCTTGGACTTCACACAGCACCTCAACACGGGGTCGTCACTGGGGTCGGACTGGAGAGACCCTGCCCTGGGTCCCCATCTGAAGCCAGGATGCGCCCCTCCCCCCGAGCAAGCGTCCCTCCAATCAAAGTACAGAGAAGGGGCCCAGCTAGGGAGCTGGGAGAAGAGCAGCCCTCTAGGTGGGAGGTGGTGACCCAGGGTGGGGGCCAGACCCGGACCCAGGACAGGAGACTGAGCAGCCCCTTGGGGTCGAGCGGCGCCCCCCAAGCGTGATTCTCGCAGCGCCTGCTCCAAGGCTCAGGGAGAGCCAAGACAGACAGTGCTGAGCCGGCCCGTCCCCTCACCCACCAGGTTCTAGAAGCTTCTACCTTCATCACAGCACCAGGGCGGAGCTCGGGGTCCACTGAGCCCACACCTGCAGACTGGAGTCTGGGGTGCTCCCCCACAGTGCTCACCCCGAGAACAGGCAACAACATCTCCACGGCCTGAACCACCTTCACTGGCCACTGACCACCATGGGTGGCCTGAGCAGTTGCTGTGTGCCAGGTGGGCGGGCACCTCCCTAACTCTCGGCCAGGGCGGGGACCTCGGTCACCGGCGCAACTGAAGGCGGAGGGAGCAGAGGACACGCTCCTCACCGCTGCCCTTTCACCCCTCACCTGCGACCCTCCCCAAGGCGCAGCCTTCCTGGCCACACCCCAACCCCCCTGCCACTCCCACTTCCTGGCTCCAGCCCTGGGACCCAGAGCCCTGCCCAGGCACAGGCACCAACACACACTCTTGACAGGTGTGCACACACGTGTACATACCAACACACACACCAACACACACTCCCAACAGATGTACACACAGGTACACACACCAACACATACTGACACACATACACACACATACACACACCAACACACACTCCCGACAGATGTGCACACACCCACACCAACATATGCTGACACACATACATACACATACACACACCGACACGCATACACACATCAACACATACCCACACACACTCCCAACAGATGTGCACACACCAACTCACACTGACACACACACACATACACACACCAACACACACTCCCAAGAGATGTGCTCACACGTACACACACCAACACACACACATACATATACACACACATACACTGACACACACATACACATCAACACACATATACACACACCAACACACTACCGACAGATGTACACACATGTACACACACCAACACACACACATACATACACATATACACCAACACATGTACACACCAATACACACCAACACACATGCATGCACACACAAACACACATCCCTGACAGATGTGCACACACGTATACACACCCGAACACACATACATACACATACACAAACACACATATACTTACACACACCAACATAGACACATGCACACACCCCACAAGCACACACATTCCACATGCATGTACATGCATATACATACCCCAACACACATGTGCACACACATATACACACCAACACACATACACCAAACACGCACATACATATTCATACATATACACACCTCCCACCATGCACACATGCACACACACACACACACCAGCGACAGATGGGTTCCCACATGGGTGTCAGGCCCCAGATACCCCAAGGAGGGGGGCGAGGCCCCCCAGGGAACCTCAGGTGCCCGGCCTGACCCTGGACACTGTCTGGAGTCCAGGTCAGACCCCCTGCAGGGCCACCCGGGGCTCCCTGCCAAGCTGGCAGGAGGCTTTGAATTCACATGCAGACCCCGGGCAGCGCCTGGGGGTGCTGACCAGCAGTGCAGATGAAGCCCCCACCCAGGGGCACGGCGCAGGGAACAGGCCTGCAGCACGGATGGGGGGCAGCTTGGTCAGCCCCTTCTCACCCACCAGCCCCCCCCCCCGCATCCCTCATCTGTCACCTGAGGGTCTCAGGTACCCTGGGGAAACTGAGGCCGACCTCCCCAGCAGAACCCCTCACCCTGCACAGCCCCAGCTGTCCTGGGCTGCCCGGGGGTGAGGGGGGCCTGGAAGGAGGTCTCACCCTAGGGGGCAAGTGAGGGGGAGGGGACCAGGAGCCAGACTGGTCCCCAGGGAAACAACCTGATGCTGGATGCTTCTGGATAGCCCACGACGGGTGGACTCCAGACTCCAGCAATCCCCCCGGGACTGGGGCTGCGACGGGGGTCCCCAGCATCCTGGGGAAGGGGGGCAAGCCACAGGGAAGGGAGCAGAAGGTGGGGACCTCCTGCTGAATGAGCCTGGAGCTCCCCCCCTCCCCTGATGTCCTGCTGGCGGCCACAGGGTCCCCCGGGTCTGGGCAGGAGGGAGGGGTCCCAGCAGGCAGCATGGGGGGCGGAGGGGGTGTGTTCACGGTAGGCCCCAGCCCCCCACACACCCCGGCGTGACCCGACGGCCCTCCCCACGCCCCCCCACACCTCGCAGCCAGCACTGGGCAGGGAGGAGGAGGGCAGAGGCCCCCCTCGACGCAGCCCGGCGCCCACTGCCACCCCCACCCGCAGCCCGGCCCAGCTGGGCCTGAGCGGGGAGGGGAGGAGGCAGGAGTGGTGAGAGCCGGGGAGCGGGGACCCAGGGGCCTCCTGCGTCCATCCCTGCCCCCCGGGGGGCCTGGGGCGCAGCGGGCCGGGCCCTCCCTCCTGGGGCGGCGGCGAAGGCTGGAAGGGACCCACCGGGATGGCCAGGCGCGGGGCGGGCGGGCGGCGGGCGCGTCGCGGGCGGCCGGGCCGGACGCGTGTCCCTCGGCCCCCGTGTCCATCCAGGCCAGCTCCTCTCCGGGCGCTCTGAGGGCCGGCGGGCGCTGTCAAAAAGCTTTTTATGTGTGTGTGTGTGAATCACATGATTGCCGTTCACCTGTATTCGGAACAAAGGACGCTCACTGTTTCAAGGCCCCGACAGCAGGCTGGGCACAGGGAAGAGGGGGGGGGCGGGGGGAGGAGGGTTGGCAGCGCCGGGGGTGGCGTCGAGGAAAACTGGGGGGAGATTGTCCGAGGCCGGCGCGCGCGAGAAAGAGAAAACCCTTATCAAACTCCTAATTCACTGGGCTCCGGGGCCGACACAGTGGCTGATTGTCTAGGCCGCGGTGAGCGCGAGCATGTGTGTGAGCGTGCTCGAGGCCTGGTCCCCACCCCCAACATGCCTTCGCCTCGCGTGACTGCTCCATTGTGCCTGTTCCCAGCCCCCTCCGCGCCCCAGGCCTTCCCCGGCCCGGGGGACCGAGCCCTGGCTCCGGGCGGGACACCCCAGGGGTGGCCGCGGCCTGGCCTGGTCGGGCTGCCACTGGCCACGTGGTGGCCTCCCGGCAGTGGCCCACTGCCGTCAGGAGCGAGGGGAGGTCTCAGGGGTGAGACCCCCACCCCCATACTCCGAGCTGGACAGGTACAGACGCCAGGCGGCAGGCCCGGTCCACCTTCACGACCCCCAAAATTGGCCTCCTGTCCCCAAGCGGGACCCCTGAATCTTTTCAGTCCTGCGTGAGGACTGCCCCCTCTGCACCAGCCCCCCGGGGAACACAGGGCTCAGCCCTTCACCTGGGCAGTCACCTGCAGGGGTGGGGTGGGGCGGGCGCAGGGCGAACACAGTGGGGCTCAGGCCTGCACCCCAAGGCTTAGGTGCTTCTGCTCGCCCTAGGGAGAGAGAGACTGGGGGTACCCAGCCCTCGACAGGGCCCCCCAGGGAAGCCGCTGTACATGGTGCCCACTGGGTCCACTCGTTCCCCCCGTCCTGTGTGGCCAGAGGTAGTGGGGGTCCGGGAGGGGCCTGAGGGCTCCCCACCCCGGATTCCGCTACGCGACAGGACCCCGCCAGCCCACCTGCGCCCCTGAGCTCCCCAGCCCAGCCCAGGCCCCGGGACGGGCTGGGGGCAGCGGGGCAGGGAGCAAGGCTTGGGGGGGGGGGTTGCTGGCTGAGGATCCCAGTGTCCAGGATGAAGGCTGGAGCCGAGGCTCCACCTTCCGTCCTCCCCTCCCTCCTCCCCTCCCCCTCGCCTCTCCCCCTCCCGCCCTGCCCAGCCTGCAGCCCGGCTCGGCGCTCAGTCAGTCTCAGGCTGGCAGGCCCGGGGGGCTGGTGCTGGTGGTTCGCGCTCCCTCCTGAGTAGGCCGAGGTCCCAGGCTCGGGGGGTCCCCCAGCCCCTCCCTCCCAGCCCCCCAGCGTCACCCCCCCAGCCCCCGAGCTGGACCGGACACCTTGGGACACGGTGTTCCACTTCCTGAGGACCAGCCCCCGCCTGGACGAGCGGTCGGAGGAGGTGAGTCCGCTGCCCCGCCGCCGCCGCCCCGCCGGGTGCCCGCGGTGGGTTGGAGGGGCGCGGGCCTGGGACCCCCGGGGCCCTGCCCGCCTCCCGGGCCCGGGCAGAGGTGCGGGGGAGCGGAAAAGGCGGGCAGGGCGGCGGCTGCCAGGAGGCAGGAGGGGTCCCGCGTGCCCGTCCCCTCCACCAGAGCCGCGCGCCGCGCGCCCTGCGCCCCGCTCCATCCCCGCGCGCGCTGCCTCCGCAGGTGGGCGCGGGACCCTTGGCCCGGACGGCGGCGGCGGCGGCGGGCCCCGGGCAGGCGGCCGAGGGCGCCATGGCCGAGGAGCAGGACCTGTCGGAGGTGGAGCTGAGCCCCGTGGGCTCCGAGGAGCCGCGCGGCCTGTCCCCGGGGGGCGCGTCCGCGCTGGGCCCCGACGGCGGCGGCGGCGGCGGCGGCGCGGGTCTGCGCGCCAGCCCGGGCCCCGGCGAGCTGGGCAAGGTCAAGAAGGAGCAGCAGGACGGCGGCGAGGCGGACGACGACAAGTTCCCCGTGTGCATCCGCGAGGCCGTCAGCCAGGTGCTGAGCGGCTACGACTGGACGCTGGTGCCCATGCCCGTGCGCGTCAACGGCGCCAGCAAGAGCAAGCCGCACGTCAAGCGGCCCATGAACGCCTTCATGGTGTGGGCGCAGGCGGCGCGCCGCAAGCTGGCCGACCAGTACCCGCACCTGCACAACGCCGAGCTCAGCAAGACGCTGGGCAAGCTCTGGAGGTGAGCGCCCGCCGCACCCCAGGGCGCCCCGACGGGGCGGGGGCAGTGGGAGACGCGGGGGACAGGGGCTGGCGGCGCTGGCGGGAGAGGGAGGGAAACTGAGGCAGCCCGCGGGGGAGTCCGCGGAGGAGGGGGGATTCGGGTGAGAAGCCGGCCGGGGGGCTGGGGGGATTCCCGGCCCCCCGGGGAGGGGCGGGCAGGAAGCCACCCGCCCGTGGCCCCCGCCCTCCTCCTGTCCCCGCTCGGCGCCATCTTCCCTCCGGGCCCCACCCAGCCTTGGGGAGCGTCTTACCCCCTGACGGGGGGCCCCGAGCCCCCCCGTCACCAGGCCCCGCTCCCTTCCTAAGGTCCCCCGGAAGCCCCAGTGCCTTGACACCAGCCCCAGGCCCCGGGGAAAGCCTTGGGGACAAGGGACACGTCCCTCAGGACGGGGCTCAGCCAGTGCCAGGAGTCCTGGGCAGTTCTAAGAAGGAGTGGGGGGCTTAGCAGGGACCCCCCCAGGAGCCGCCTGGGGACACAGAGGCCCCGGAAGGGGGCACTGAGCAGCCCCTAGAAGCCTAGGACCCGTCTGCCGAATTTCTTGAGCCCCGGGAGGGGATGGGGCGTGGGTCACTCCTGCCCTCTAAGGCATGGGCCAGGACGCTACGGGGGACCAGCAGGGACAGGAGGGGCCCACACTGTCCAGCCGGGGTGTCGGGGGTTGGGGTCCCCAGCCCAGCCCTTTGGGGTGTCCATCCTGGGCAGCCCCAGGGTTGGCAAGCTTTTGCCCCACCCCTGCATCGGGCCAGGATTTTCGGGGCCACAGGGGAGTGGGAGGTGCAGAGAAGAGTAGTGGGAGAGAAGTTGACTCCACCCGGGGACCCTAAGCAGCCCCCACACTCCCCCCGGGGCCCTCGGCTTCTCCCACCACCCACTGCCAATGCTCAGGACCTGCCCCTTGCTGTCCCTGTCCCCCGCCTCATCCCCCCCCTAAGAAACCGGGGCCTGGGCTCCCCCACCCCCACCCCAGGACAAGCCCCTGCCCCCGGGGTCCCTGTGTGGGACCACTGGGGAATGGCGCTGCTGGCCAAGGCGCTGACCCAGGGCGGGGGACAGGCCGTGCGGGGGTCAGAGGTGGTGCCGGGGAACCTTGGGGTCCCCCAAGACTCTTGATCCCCAGGCAGCCAGGAAAGGAGAAGGTTTGGGGACCCAGAGAGGAGCAGGAGCCCTGAGGCCGCAGGTGGACCATGGCGGGCGCTGGGGCCAGACCCCGGGGTCAGGCTGGACGGTCCAGCCACCTGGAGAGTCTCAGAGCCAAGAGCCAGATGGGAGGGTCCCCGGAGAGGCCTCTGAGGGCTCTGCTGCCTGTTGGGAGGGGCAGTGAGGGTCTGCCGGGGAGCCCCCGGGAGTCTGTCGGGTGGGGTCCCCCCTCCCTGTCCTGGCCAGCTCATACCTGGTGGTCAGCCGGACGGAGGGCTGGAGCCCTGAGGCTGCCTGCCCCCCCCCGCAGTTCTGGGCCCCCAGACTCGCAGAGGGGGCCTGGGAGCTATTCCATCCCTCACTCCCTCACCCCTGTGCTAGGGTCTCCGGTCTCTCGGTCCGCCGGGAGGTGGGGGGGTGCGGAGGCTGGAGGACACTAAGCTGCCCAGGAATGCTGGAGAGAGGCGAGGCGGTGCCTGGTGTGGCCGTCCCCGCAGGGGGCAGCGCAGCCCCCCACAGCACCCCTCATGCCTGCAGCCCCCCCTTGCCCCTGCCGAGTCCGACACACACGCCCTCCTCACTCGGAGCCTTAAATATCGCCTAGAGGGCTAGAACCCGGGCCTGTGGGGGCCCCCGGCGGTGCTGACACTGACCTGGCCAGGGCTGGGGCCAGCTGTGCCCCTGGGTGAGGCAGTGAGGGTGCCCGTGGCCAGAACTCCCAAATCACGGTTCCACACAGCCCGGGCACCCCACACCCTCCCGGCCCGCCCAGCGCTCAGCCTCTCCCTCCCGCTTGGGCCGAAAGCGCCCAACCCGGGCACTGGCTCGCTCGCCACAGAGGGGGCTTCTCCCACTGTGGCCATAGGGGGGTCCCGGGGGGCCTGGGGGGCCGCCGTCCGCTTGCTCAGTCCCTGCTGGGGGCAGCAGCTCTCAGCCTGGGAACTGCCCGCGCCCTCTGTCCCGATTTATGGGTTGTTTCCTTTTAATTTTTTTTCTTTTTTTTTTGCTTTTTGGGTCACACCCAGCGATGCTCAGGGGTTCCTCCTGGCTCTGCACTCAGGAATTACTCCTGGCGGTGTTCGGAGGACCCTATGGGATGCTGGGAATCGAACCCGGGTCGGCCACGTGCAAGGCCAACGCCCTTCCCGCTGTGCTATCGCTCCAGCCCCTTAATTTTTTTTGGGGGGGGAAGAGCAGGGAGGGTGTGGAATCTGCCAAGGGGAGCTCAGGGGCCCTCAGGGGCCACTCCCGGCAATTCTCAGCCACACCTGGGGATGTTGGGGGGGACTCGTGGGGGTCTGGGGGGCGGGGGGAGCCGTGCTCCCTCCTAGTCCCCGATTCCACGACACCCACCTCCTCCCCTGAGAGGCCCCGGGTGCCCCCCAGGGTGGGCCCTGCTCCTCCCTCCGTCCCGTCCCCCGTCAGCCCCAGCAGGGGGACAGATACTCACGGCCCCCCCGCGCCCCCCAGGCTGCTGAACGAGAGTGACAAGCGCCCGTTCATCGAGGAGGCCGAGCGCCTGCGCATGCAGCACAAGAAGGACCACCCCGACTACAAGTACCAGCCGCGGCGCCGCAAGAACGGGAAGGCGGCCCAGGGCGAGGCCGAGTGCCCGGGCGCCGACGCCGAGCAGGGCACGGCCACCATCCAGGCGCACTACAAGAGCGCCCACCTGGACCCCCGGCACCCCGGGGAGGGCTCCCCGCTGTCAGACGGGAACCCCGAGCACCCCTCAGGTGAGGCCGGGGGCCGTGACGGGGGGGGGCGGTTGGCTCGGGAGGGCACAGGCACTGAACAGGGTCCCCCGGAGCCCCCAGGAGTGAGCCTGGAGCATCACCGGGTGGGCCCCCAAACCAAAGCATGGAAAGTGGGGACGGGGACAGCCTGCTTCAGGGTCCGGGTCCGTGTGGCAGAGGCGAGAGACGTTAACTGCGTGCTGCGTGCGTGCTGCGTGCGTGCTGGGTGGATGCTGGGTGCTGGGTGCTGGATGGTGCATGTTAGGTGCTGGGTGCTGGGTGCTGCACTCCGGCCCATCCACGACACTATGGCTCCTCCTGACCATCACACCCCGGGGAGGGGGACACGGAGGAACTAGGATTTCTGCAGAGACGGGAACTGATCCCCTCAGCCCCCCCACAACAAGCCTGGTGTACCCCCCACCCCCACTGAGGACTCCGGCACGGGTCCAGGACAGCTGAGTCTAGTTTTTCTGTTTTGGTGCTCGGGGCAATGTCACATGCTGAGGCTCCACTCAGCCCCCCCGCCTGGCCCCCATCTCTCAGGCCCCCACCTTTGGGTCCCCCGACCTCTCGGACCCCTCATCCCTCAGCCCCCAGCACCCGGGGCTGCGTGCACGGAGGACTCAGCCCTGCTTCCCGAGAGCCCCGTCCGCTGCCCCTCCCCCACGAGGACCCCTCTCAGGGGCTCCCCACCCGGCCCCCTTGGGTGAAAGCAGGGGTCCTGAGACCCCGCCCGTCTGCAGAAGGGAGCAGGGGGCCAGGCCGGATGGCTGCCAAACAGTCCTAGGAGACCCCTGGGGCCGGCTGCTGGCCGGGTGGGGGGCACAGTCTCGGGGTCCCTCTGGAGGCTGCGGCGTCCCCCGGCCTGACCGCAGCCCACGCTCTCTGTCCCCCCCCGCCCCCAGGCCAGAGCCACGGCCCCCCCCACCCCTCCGACCACCCCGAAGACGGAGCTGCAGCCGGGCCGGGACGCCAAGCGGGACGGGCGCTCGCTGGGGGAGGGCGGGAAGCCCCACATCGACTTCGGCAACGTGGACATCGGCGAGATCAGCCACGAGGTCATGTCCAACATGGAGACCTTCGACGTGGCCGAGTTGGACCAGTACCTGCCGCCCAACGGGCACCCGGGCCACGTGGGCAGCTACTCGGCCGGCTACGGGCTGGGCAGCGCCCTGGCGGTGGCCAGCGGACACTCGGCCTGGGTCTCCAAGCCGCCCGGCGTGGCTCTGCCGGCCGTGTCGCCGCCCGGCGTGGACGCCAAGGCCCAGGTGAAGACGGAGACGGCGGGGCCGCAGGCCCACTACGAGCAGCCGTCCACCTCGCAGATCGCCTACTCCTCGCTTAGCCTGCCCCACTACGGCTCGGCCTTCCCGCCCCTCTCCCGCCCGCAGTTCGACTACGCCGACCACCAGCCCTCGGGACCCTACTACGGCCACTCGGGCCAGGCTCCCGGCCTCTACTCGGCCTTCTCCTACATGGGGCCGTCGCAGCGGCCGCTCTACACGGCCATCTCCGACCCCAGCCCCTCGGGGCCACAGTCCCACAGCCCCACGCACTGGGAGCAGCCGGTGTACACGACGCTGTCCCGGCCCTGAGGGCCCCCGCCCCTCCGGCCAGCGGCCCCCCACCCCCCCAGGGCACCCCGATCCCCCGCCCACCACAGGCCTGGTGGCAGCCGCAGAGGAGACGGAGCTCGGCGGGGCCGGGGCTGGGGGGCCGTCCTCCCGGGCCCCTGCTCGGGGGAGGGGGAGGGGCACAGGGCCCCCAGGATCGACCCCTTAGCCCCGGACCCAGGCTGGCGAGTGAGGGGGCTCCCCCACCGACTGGCCGGGGCCCTGCCTCCGAGGGGCTCACGAGGGCCCCCCAGGCAGGCGGGCAGGTCCCACTCTGTGTCCAAGGAAGGGCGGCCCGCCGGCCCCCACCCTCTCCTCCTCGCCGAGGCGGGGGGCAGGCGCTCTGGGGTGGGACAGACGGGTTCAGAGCCCCCCTCCCGGACCTCCGACTTCCCCCTTGCGGCCCCTGCTGTTGTCAGGCCCCATTCCTGTTGGGGTGGGGCCACCCCGGCTTGTCGGCGCACACTGACCCCCCAACCTGGACCCGCCAAGCCTTCGCGTCCCCCGCCCTGAATAAAGTATGTAGCCTCGTGCCCCCCACCCCAGCGCGCGCCCCCATGTAACGCTCCCCGCTCCGTCTTATTTATCTGTAGCTCCGGCCCGCCTGGGCGCTCCCCCCTGTTAACTGCAGTAAGCGACCCCGTAATAAAGCGAGAGGCTGCAGCCTCCCTGGCCTGTCTCCCGGTCTCTGCTCCCTCGGGCCCAGACGCCGCCCGAAGCGACCATCTCCCCGGCCAGAGAGCGACCCACCCCACACAGAGCTGCCGCCCCGCACCCAAGGACAAGCACCCGAGGGACGGGCGTGAGGAGAGGCGGGTGCCGCCTGGCACCTCCCCAACAGACACCCCCCACATGCGTACACTGCATGCACACATGCACGTGTGCATGCCTCCCACACGCACACACATGCATACGACATACGTGCCACACAGCACACATCCCACACACGACCTAGTATGCAATGCCACATGCTCACATAATGTACACTTTCACATACATCCATGCCACGTGTACACACCACATACAAATATGCACCATACATGTACACATGCCAGGGTACACGAGCGCGCACACACATGCATGACATGCCCACCTACGCCTATGCACAGCCCCACACGCACACATAACCCACTCGCTCCAGGGTGCTACAGTGTGTCACACACACACACACACACACACACACACACACACACACACACACGACACCCCCTAAAGTGTAGCACTGAGGACCACCTGGGCTGTGAGGGTCAGAGAGCCAGTGAATGGACCCACCCACCCTCCAGCCAGTCTCGCCCAGCCTCTGAGTTTGGGCGGTCATGGGCGCACACGTGTTACGGGGTTGCAGTCTTCGGGACTGGGGAGCATAAGCACCCCCTTTCTGGGTACTGAGAGCCGAGGGTGACGCCCGGAGCACTTAGAGCGCCAACGCCCGCAGTCACCAGGCCTCCCCATGGGCCCCTGTGGCTCTCGGAGCCACCAGGGCTGACTCGGACACTCCCCTGTTGGTGTCTCGCCAGCTCCCTGCCCGTGTGAAGCCCCCGGGATCATTTGCCAGCTCCCCCGGGACTCAGTTCTGCCCACACGAACATCCTCATTCAAGGCAAAAACCCGCCAGGACGCAGAGGCAGGGTAGGGCCACACTGCGCGTGAGACCCCGAATCCCACCCCAGCGCCAGTGCCCCGCCGAAATAAAAAAAAAAAAAGAAAGAAAAAAAAGGAAATGGAGACGCCCCTGCCGCCCATGTGCAGCAGTGCACGGCGGGGTGGGGTGCTCTGCCATCCAGTGCTCGCTTTGAACGCTAGGTCTCTAAAGGCCCGTCCTGGGGCTGGTCTGGGGCCACAGGTGAGCGCCTTGCTTGCAAGTGCCCAGGGCTGACCCTGGCACTGGTGCTCGGACCCGCCAGCATTGTTGGTCAGACCAGCCAAGTTCATTTGCAGAGACACCCTCCCCTTGAGGCAGGGAGACACCAGGGCAGCCAAGTCCCTGCTGGGACACTCCTGAGAGGCAGCAGGCACGGGCGGGCAGGACCTGCCTCTGCTGGAGTCCAGGCGCTGTCCGTGGCCGTCACGGAGGGGGCCAGGAAAGCCAGTGGACTTGGCCTGCCCCGAACCAGACGCGGCCCGTGGGCCCCTTCGGCTCATAGGCAGCCTGTGGGCATCACACCTGGTTCTGACCCGAGGGGCAGACGCACAGGCCGCGGGCTCGGTGAGGGGGTGCCTCGCTGCACGGTCTCCCGCGTGGGTGCTCTGACCCGGCCTCCCTGGGAGGGGGCGCCTACGGGACGCCTCTGCACCCACCCACCGCTCCTGCTCAGGGGGGCTCCCAAGGGTGGAAACACCCGCCCCGGCGACCGCCTCACCAGGACTGCAAGGAAGTCTGGGGAAGGGGGAGCCGCGGGGGTCAGGCGCCCCCGAGAGGCCGGAGCCTCACACACACGCCTGGACCTCGGTTGGGCCAAGGGGCCACGCGGGGCCCAGGAAGGCCCAGGAGGTGCACAGTGGGCACAGCCGAGGTGGGGGGGACGGGGACACCCCTTCCCTCCGTTTCCCTAAGGGTTAACCCTCCCCACCCCATCTCCGTTTAATCACATCGATACGGGATGGCCTGGCGGGAACAAAGGGGCCATTCAGAGAAACGGGGCCGCGAGAGTGACCCCGCGGGCCGGGGCGCGGCCTGGGCACGGGCACAAAGGCGGCGTTTCAGAGCTGAAATTTCAGCACCCAACTTGATTAAAGAATTCCTCAGGCTCGGAGGAGGGCACCGGGGGTGCGGGTGCCCTGCGCCCCGACTTAACTCCTGCACGGCAGCCGGCCGGGCCCGCTCCACGGGCGCGCCTCCCGGCCGTCCATCGGGGCCCCAGGTCCTGCTGTCCACGTTCTGGAACGTGCGGCCAGCGGAAGGCTGGGGTAGCCACTCCCGTCGCCCGTGGCACCCACATACCCCCTTGTCCCTGCGGCCACCTGCTCCCCAGGGAGGGGCGGTCACGTGACTGGCCTCCCAGAAGGTTCTGGAAGAGGACTTCAGGGGACAGGACCCATCGGACCCTGAGCCGAGAAAGGGCCTCGGTGACCCCTGAACTGCCCGGTGACTGTCCAGCGGGGGCGAGGCGTGAGGCGGGGGCGGGGAGCACCGCATCCCCGGCTTCCTGCTGGGCCCGTGTTCCTGTAAGGGGACCCCGGCCTCGATAAGCGGCTGAGGCAGGTCCCCGGGAACAAAGGGCGGCTTGATGGGACCTGCTCTGTGATACTCCTGAGAAGGAGAAGCCCCCGCGCCGGCCCCCTGCAAAGGAAATTGGGGGTTTCCCTAGCAACCGGCTCCCCGGGCACAAAGGCCTGTCTGTGTGCGGGGAAGGCAGCTGAGGTGTCTCCTGGCCGACTGCGGGGACCGGGGAGGGGGGCCCGGGGGTGGGGGGGGGGGCGGCCACGGGCCGGGACAGACGAGGGCGGACGAGGGCCCGGGAGGGAGGAAACAGTTTATTCGGGCGCGGGGCGGGGCTCAGTCGGTGATGATGAGCTCGTCCACGCCCCAGTCCTCGTAGCTCCCGTCCGGCAGGTATCGGCGGATGATGATGGGGATCTTGCGGGCCCTGTGCAGGGGAGAGGCCGGAGCGTGAGGGCGGCCCCGGTTCTGCAGCGGAAGGAATGGGGGCGGGGGGGGGAACTGCAGAACCGGGGAGGCGGGGAGCAGGAGGACGGGGTGCAGGGCTCTATCCTGGGGGAGCCCGGGGGCAGAAGCGGGAAATCCTGAGGCAGAAAATTGGCAGCAGGTCCCCTCACGTGCCCCCCACGTCCTGGGAGTACCGCCCCCCCCCCAATCTGGCCCGCCTCAAGAACAGACCAGGGAGCGAGAGGAAGCGGGCAGGGAGAGCCCCCAGGGCAAGAGCACTCAGAGTGGAGCAGGGAGCACAGAACAGGGATCTGGGGGCAGGGATCACGGGGCAGGGTGCTTACTTGAGCTCCTTCATGGCGATGAGCAAGGGGTCAGTCTCGCCCTCCAGCTCCACCATCACGGGGGCGCACATCCTGCGGGGGGGGGGCAGGTGTCAGGGAGGCGGCGTGAGGAGGGGAGGCCCAGCGGGGAGCACCTCACGGACAAGAGCAGCCCCCCGAAAGGTGACCTGCCGCAGCCGCAGAGCCCCGGACCCAAACATGCCCCGGAAAGCACCTGTCCTGTCACGCGGTCGGTCGGCCCGGGTTCCAACCCCGGCCCCCCAAAGGACCCTGAGCCCACCCAGAGTGAGGCCTGAGCACGGCTGGGTGTGGCCCCAAAACCAAAAACGAGAGAAATTTTTACCTACAAGGGCCAGTTCACTACCAGACCCGCCTTGCTCCCCAAACCCCGGCATCCTCGGGTGATGGCCAAGTCGGGGCGCAGGGCCTCGGCGGCCAGGCAGGGCCCGGGGCTGGAGGTGGCCCCAGGGGCTCCGTCCCCGCACAGCCCCAAACTGTCAGACCCCTCGAGCACAGGGCTGGGAGCACTGCCAGGTGTAGCCCCCGGCCCCTGCGCGCCGCGCCCCCACAGCAGGCAGAGTCTGCCATCAGTGGCAAGGAGGCGGCCTGAGCTCCCGTCCAGGCCCAGGCCCCATGGCCTCCGGGAGGACCTGGGTGGACACAGCCTGCTGTCCATGTGACACGGCTCCCCTCGGCACAGGAAGTGAAGCCTGCCAACGGGCACCACACACTCTGGACCCCATGGAACATGAACACACACATGAACACACACACACACACACGCACGCTGATTCTGGGTCACCTCCTCCAGGGAGCCTCACAAAATGATTCCAACTCAAATTCTCACGAACCCGCCCCCCAGCCCCATAACCATCGGAACTGCGATGAGGACGTGTCACCTGCAGGTTCCAGAGCCTTCCCCAGGCCCCCGGGAGAGCCGGGTCCCCGACGGCTGACCACCAGCCTCTCCCGCTTACACCACACACCTGGCTCCGTTTCTCATGAGGCCGATTCGGGTGGTTTCCCAAAGCCTGAAAACGTCCCAAGGGCCGAATCCGAGGGTCTCCCGCTTCCCCTCTCCCTGAGTGCTCCCCCTCTGAGGGTCCCCCTGGCCCTCACTGCAAGCTGTAACTTAGGGCCTGGAAGGAAAACCCGCAGGCCCTCGTCCCTCCCTGTAGGAGGCCCCAATGGCCACCAGGTGGTGCTGCGGGGCTGGGGAGGGGGCGACAGGGCCCGGGGCTGGGGCTCGGTGTGGTTGTGGGGGCCAGGCCAGCCCCCAGCACTGCGGGGTCCCCATTAAGGTGCTCCAGTGCCCTGGGGCTTCCAGGGGGCCCGATAACACTCAGGGGGTGTAAAATCTTAGCACGCTGAAGGTTGTGTGTTCGCTGAAGGTTGTGTGTTCGCGGGGTCTCTGGACGGCTGTCTCACCGCCCGCGTTCGGTGCTCTTGAGCCGCTGTGTGTGGCCTGGATCAGGACAGCCTCTCTCTCTCAAGCTTGGGCCCCTCTCGCTCTGACTTTGGATCTCTCTCTGAGCTTACAGTCTTAGTTTATATAGCAATCATGAAGGGTGGTGACAAAGGTGGGTTGAACATTGACAAATCAACAAAGAGAGGTAAGACCACTCCTGGAGGAGATTAACTCAAGGATAAAATCTCATCTAAAGAGATTACTCCAGATTACTAGGAGATCTGCTCAAGGGCGGGATCCCAACGAGGGTGTGTTCTTTCCTCAGCTAGTAATCTACTTAAACAGTTGTAGTAAATCTACTTCTAATATTTCCAGCAATGCCATTCTGTGTGAGCACAGTAAGAGATATAAACATCCCATTATACATTCCGCGGTCCTCAGGCCAGGTAAGTCTTCCTAGCCCCAGACGGGTCCTAGTGGGTCCTAGTCTCGTCATTACTCACTTTGGATCTGACAGCATTTGTTCATGAGCATGCCCTCAACTCATAGTTGAGTATCGTGGAGCTTCAGCCTGGCCCATTTCGATGCCAAGGTGGCTCACAGCTTGCCCTGGGCCCATTCAGTCCCTCACTGGGACCCTGCCTTTGGGGTGCTAGGAACTAAGGGCAACTGAGTCAAGAAAGCAGATGCCCAGGAGTAAATATTATTCGGAGTCAATCAACTCCCAAGTTACAAAGCATAATATTAACTGTCTTCCTGTGTCCACACAGAAAGGACATTGCTTTAAGGTAAACCATTCAAAAGACACAAGGAGAGGAGAAAGGCAATATTAGCTTATAATACAAGTTCAGTGCCCTGGGATGGGTGTGACCCGATAAACCTAGGCTCCCTGAGGAAGGACAAAACAGTGTTATCCTACAGGGGGGCGCCCGCCCCAAGGTGGGGAGATGCACGCTCTCCTCTCCATGGGACGGGTGACCCCAGGAGTATCCCTCCTGCGTGTGGCCACGAAACGGAGCCACAATGTGTGTGTGTTGGGGGGGGGGGGGATGCGCCCCTGGCCACGCTCCCCCAGAGGACGGAACGGGAGAAAACCCCAGCAGCTGACAGCGAGGAGCCGCCCACCAGCGGGAAGCACCGGAGAAGTCCCAGCCGGGCTCAGGGAGGGAGCCTGTCACTGTGTCATCCTCTGACCCAGCCAGCAGGGGACAGTGGGGCTCGGCCTCTCCCCTCCCTCCCTGCAGGCACCCGGCGGGCAGAGGGCATGGCAGGCCGGCCCCACGATACCCGATGCCTGCCACCCAGGTGGCAGGCTCGCTCCCTGCACTTGTCTGGGGGTGGCTGGACAGACGGCTACCTGGGCAAATGCAGGGGTCAGTGGATGGACGGACAGACGGACAGACAGACAGACAGACAGACAGACAGACAGCACTCGGTTATTCTCTCCGCCCCTATGGCCTGGCCCCAAACAAGGCACGGCGAGGGGGCTGCTGGCGTCCCAGGGGGGCGTAGCTGCTGGGCCCCTGGAGTCTAGAACCCCGCGGGCCCCACCGCCTCCCAACGTCTCTCCCAGCCCCGCACGCCGGCGCCCTTGGGTCAGGCCTCACACCCCTTCCCCATGGACTGGCAGGGGGCGCCCGACTGGCAGGGACGGGACAGAACACGGCACCCAGAGTCAGGGGACACTCACGCAATCTGCAGGGCGCGGGTGCCCAGCACGCGGGCACGCTCGTACTTGGTCATGTAGGGCGTGGTGATGCGCTTCTGGTTGGCCTGCGGGCGCTCGCCCGAGGGGAGGATCTCCACGTTCTCCTGGCCCTCCTGTGCCCAACACAGAACAGAGGGGAGGCTTAGAGGGGAGGCTCAGCGAGCGGCCGGGTGCTACGGAGACACTGAGCCTCAGGACAGAGGCCCTGAGCGGATAACAAACCAGGCACAAGCGCCCTGTCCTGTTGGGGAAACTGAGTCATGGGGGGGAAACGACGTGGCCTTCACCTTGCACAGGGCCGACCCAGGTTTGGTCCCCAGCATCACAGAGGGTCCCCCAAGCACTGCCAGCAGTGACCCAGAAAGAAAAAAATATTTTTTTTTTTTTTGCTTTCTGGGTCACACTTCGTTTGGCACTCAGGAATCACTCCTGGTGGTGTTCAGGGGATCCTAAGGGATGCTGGGGATCAAACCCAGGTGCAAGGCAGACGCCCCGCCCACTGTGTTATCGCTCCAGCCCCCCAAAAACACTTTTTTAATTAAAAAATGAATTTAGGGGCCGGAGCAATAGCACAGTGGGTAGGGTGTTTGCCTTGCATGCGGCCGACCTGGGTTCGATCCCTGGCATCCCATATGGTCCCCTGAGCACTGCCAGGAGTAATTCCTGAGTGCAGAGCCAGGAGGAACCCCTAAGCACTGCAGGTATGGCCCACAAAAGGAAAAGAGAAAAAAAAAAGGACTAAACTAAAAACATCATCATAGAAGGGTCAGAGACAGGACAGGAGGGGAGGCACTGGCCACGCACGCGGATGACCCCGGGTCAGTCCCTGGCCCGGCACTGTCCCCTCCCCGCAGAGCCAGGGGCCACCCCCAGGCAGGGGGCTGGGCGGCCAGGCAGGAAGCCCGCGTGTGAGCAGAGGTGGGGCCGGGGCGAGCAGCCCCCTGGAATACCGACCTCCTCAGCGTTCTCCAGATCATCGAGCCCCTCATCCTCCTCCACGTCATCGAAGTCATCGCCATCAAAGCTGCGCAAGGGAAAAGGGCCTGTGAGAGCACTGCGCGCCCTGAGGAGCACGGAGAAGCCAGAGCACAGCACACAGACTGCCCCCCCCGGCCCCCATGTTCCCACTGCCGCTCCCACCACTCACACAGATGACCCAGGGATCGCCCCACCTGAAACAAATGGGCCCGTAACAGCACTGTGGGGAGGGCACCCGCCTTCCATGCAGCTGACTCAGGGACACGGGTTCGATCCCTGACACCCCATATGGCCCCCCGAGCACCACCAGGAGTGATTCCTGAGCACAGAGCCAGGAGTTTCAGCCCTGAGCACCACCAGGTGTAACCCCCCCCCCAAAAGCAACAACAAAATTTAAACAAACAAACAGAAAAATTTAAATAAAAAAGAGCCGGAGAGATGGGATAAAGGGTAGGGCGCCTGCCTTGTGTGCTATCCAATCAGGAGTTCTATGCTGGGCATCCGGTTCCCCAAGCACTGCCAGGAGTGATCCCTGAGCACTGCTGGGTGTGGCACAAGAACCAAACCCCAGACAGGCCAAGCAGAAGGCTCAAAAGACAGGAACAGGGACTTGCCACGCCGGAGTCCCACGCTCTAACCCTGGCACCACATGGTCCCCCCCAAAACTGTCACTGTCACTGTCTTCCCATTGTTCACTGATTTGCTCGAGTGGGCCCAGTAACGTCTCCGGTGTGACTTGTTGTTACTGTGCTTGGCATATCTAATATGTCACGGGTAGCTTGCCGGGCTCCCCGAGAGGGAGGAATCAAACTCGGGTCAGCCGTGTTGGCCGCATGCAAGGCAAACGCCCTACCCGCTGTGCTATCGCTCCAGCCCCAAAAACCACCAGGAGCAATTCCTGGCACCAGGCTGGGCAAGGCCCCCAAGTGCATCACTGGATGTGGCCCCATACAACACTGTCCTCCCGTCATTCATCGAGTTGCTCGAGCTGGCACCAGTCACGTCTCCATCGTGAGACTTGTTACTGAGTTTGGCATATCAAATATGTCACGGGGGGCTTGCCAGGCTCTGCCGTGCAGGCAGGATACTCTTGGTAGCTTGCCGGGCTCTCCGAGAGGGACAGAGGAATCGAATCCGGGTCAGCGGCGTGCAAGGCAAATGCCCTACCCGCTGGTCCCGTATAAAAACAAGTGAATTAAACAGGAACCCAGAAGACAGCTGAGCAGCCCAAAGACTTGGAAGTGACTGAGCGGCTTACAGCAGTGCCAGGGATGGAACCCAGGATCAACCACAGCAAGGCGGCCCCGCCTGCCTGGGAACCCTGTCTCCTGCCCAAAATCCACTTGTCAGGGGCTGGAGAGATAGCACAGCGGGTAGGGCGTTTGCCTTGCACGTGGCCAAACCGGGTTCGATTCCCAGCATCCCATAGGGTCCCCCGAGCACCGCGGGGAATAATTCCTGAGTGCATGAGCCAGGAGGAACCCCTGTGCATCGCCGGGTGTGACCCAAAAAGAAAAAAAAATCCACTTGTCAAGGCGCTTGCTGTATCCTGGCTGGAGGGACTCCCAACCCCCTCTCCACACACTATCCAGGGGGCTGTCTGGACACCCTCATACCCGGGGCTCCTTCTCGGGCTCCTGGGCTGGTGCTCCCACGGCACCCAGCACCCAGCACCCAGCGCTGCAGCCCTGGCCCTCAGCCCCCAGGCTTGGCCCCTCTTCGGACAGGTTCTCAGTCCTAAGGAACATCCTCACGCTGGCAACTGCTCCGTTTTCCGAGATCAGACTTGGAGGAGAGGGAACCCGCCGGCCCAGGGCAGGGGCAAGGGGACGGGGCCTCCCCACGTGCGTCCCCCGGGCCACCTCCCGCCTCTGACGGCCTTGCGCCGGGGTTCGATGCCGGGCAACCCACGGGGTCCCCAGGAGCCCACCAGGAGGGGCCCCTGCACGCAGAGCCAGGATGCGCCCCGAGCGCCTCCAGGTGTGGTCCAACCCCCCCCCCGCCCCCCACCCCAAAACAAACCAACACAAAAAATCAAAAACCGCTGCTCCTGGGGCCCCAGAGCGGGCTCCCGGTTTCTCCCTCCTGGGTTCCACCGGCACGACCACCCGGCACGACCCCGTGGCCCGGGCTCAGGGGCTGCCCCACGGGGGGCGCGTGCAAGGAGCGCGCGGGCTCGGCTCCACGTCCCCCCGTCGTGGGTCCCCGGCGGCCCCCGGCCCCGCGAGCCTCCTCCCCGCCAGACTTCCTGCCTCCCCCGCCCCTCGGCTCCCGCACTCACTTGTCCTCGTTGTCGGACATGACGTCCGCGCCGAGCGAGCCCCCGCGAAACGCGCGCCCCGACCCCACGCGCCGCCACTGCCGCCACCGCCGCTGCCGCTGCCGCCGCCGCCGCGCGTTCTGCGCCTGCGCGCTGACCCGGCGGCAAGTACTTCCGGGGGGCGGGCCGCCGGGGGGCGGGTGTGCGCGTGCGCCGGGCGGCGCGTGCCCGTTCCTATGGCAACCAGAGCGGCAGGCGGCCGGGCACGCGTTGCTTGCTGCCCGGAGCTCAGCGTTCGGCTCGGCTGGGCAGCGGCGGCGGCGGCGGCTGCTCCGCAGCGCTGTGCTCAGGGTCCGCGAGAGTCAGAGCCGAGCTCGGGGTGGAGGTGAGGCTCCTGGGGTGGGGGGGGCGCGCCCCCGACCCGCGCTGTCCCGATCTCTTCCCTCTTAAGCCCACCGCCGCCCCCCCCCACCACCCAGGGGCGTCCTTGCCATCGGAGCGGAATGAAGTCGTTCCTGTGTGTCTGTCTGTCTGTCTGTCGGTCTGTCGGTCGGCTGGTCAGTCTGGTGTTTCTGCGATTCTCCCGCGCTCTGCCCCTCGCTTCCAGAGTTTTGCCTTGGGAGTGGGGAGTGGGGTGGGGGTGGGGGGCAGCAGGGACAGGGACTGGGAGACGGGGTGTGTCATGCGGTGCCCCCCGCAGGACCTTCCCATGGCTTTCCAGCAGAGAGTGGAGGCAGTGAGCAGAGGTGCAGACTTCCCCCGCTGCCCCCCGCTGGTCACTTTCACCCCAGGAACCTGCAAGCTGCTCAGAGGTCAGTGCCCCAGGGCGGGGTGGGGGGTGGGGGGTGGGGGGGTGTCCTCTGCCGACCTGTTCTCCCTCGCCGGGGCTTAGGGGTTGCTGTTTTCATTTCTCAGATAAGAAACCATTGGGGTTCAAGGGTCCGAGTGGTGATGGGTACTTGGGGGTAGGGAACTTGCCTTGCACGTGACTGACCTGGGTTCATTCCGCGTGCAAGGCAAACACCCTACCTGCTGTGCTATCACTCCAGCCCCAAGAGTAACTCTTAAGCACCACCAGATGCAGCCCCAAAAGGAAAAGAAGAGGGAAAAAATGAATAAGAAAAATGTACTGGAGGGCTGGAGAAATAGTACACAGAGCCCAACAGTTCAGCTGTACTGGCCATCCTGGTTTGATTCACAGCAATGCCCAGTCTCTCAACAGCACCGAAGTCCCCCAGCACTGCCAAGTTTGGGTGGCCCAAAAGATACCCTACACACACACACACACACACACACACACACACGAAGCTTGACATGGGAAAGACTAGTATAGGATGGGAAAGAGGGACCCAGGCGTTTTCGCTTCTGTGAGGCCTCCTTCACGCGGGTGTAACCCTCTTTGAGGGCATCAGGCCGAGCTAAGTGCATCTACCTGTTCTCTGGGGCTCTCAGGAGCACTTTAGTTCTTTCTTGTGTTCTGGGCCATGCTGGCAGTGCTCAAGGCATACTCCTGGGGCCCGAGTGATAGTACAGAAGGTAAGACACTTCCCTTGCACGCCGCCGACTTGGGTTCCATCCCCGGCATCCCATATGGTCTCCTAAGCACTTCCAGGAGTGACTCTAGAGTGCAGAGCCAGGAGTAACCTTTGAGCATCGCCAGGTGTGACCCCCAAACAAAAACAACGGCGTACTCCTGGCTCTGCACTCGGGTTCCTCTTGATTTACTGGGGTGACCATGTGGAGTGCTGGGGATCAAACCCGGGTCAGCCTCCTGCAGGGCTGATGGCTCCAGCCCTCAGAAGCACTTTGCCTTGCAGCCATGATGAAGAAATCCAAACTGACCAACTTCCAGCAGCGCCACCTCATGGACACGGTGAAAAGTAAGAGGCAGCTCACATAGGCAAGGAGGAAGACACGCTCCAGGGGTTGGGTTTGGGAGGGTCCCACCCAGCGGTGTCCAGGGGGTCAGACCAAAGTGGATTTCCCACATGACTGAAACCAGCTCTTCGAACCGTCTCCCCAGCCTTGAAGAGCTATAATTTTAGTCATTACATTTTGAGGTTGGTTTGGTCTGGGGGCCACACCCAGCAGTGCTTGGGACCTACCCACTGCTCTCCTGGCAGTGCTCGGTGCCAGAGGTCAAGCCTGCATGCAGAGGGTAGATGCACTAGCCTTGTGAGCTCGCTCTCCCACCAACAGGGTTTTTTTTTGTCGTTGCTTATTTATTGCTTTTTGGGTCACACCCGGCGATGCTCAGGGCTGACTCCTGGCTCTGCACCCAGGAATTACTCCTGACAGTGCTCGGGGGAACCATATGGGATGCTGGGAATCGAACCCGGGTTGGCCGCGTGCAAGGCAAACGCCCTACCCGCTGTGTTATCACTCCAGCCCCCAACAAGGTCTTCTTACTTTTTCTGTTTGGTGGGGGGAAGCCTGGCCACCCCTGGCAGTGCTCAGAGGCTGTTCCTATCTCCCTGCTCGGGCATGACTCCTGGCAATGCTCTGAGCCAAAGAGGAAGCCCAGCAGGTCAAGGAGGGGGCGGGGCCCTCTCTGGGCGGGGCTTCTGGGAGAAGAGCCAATCAAGCTCGCGATGGGACTTTTCCATGAGCCCAAGCCTGGAGCTGGGGTTTCTGCAACGATGCCCACCACCCCGCTCACCCCCATCGCTGCCCATCTGGAGAAAGTACCAAGGCTTGTTGTACAAGAATGTTTATTGCAGCATTGTTCGAAGTAGTAAAAACACATCGGAAACCACCTGAACATCTGTAACAAGGAGACTAGTTGAATAAATAACTTATCCATCCTAAGGGCTAGTAGCATTCAGCTATAAAAAAATAAGTTATATAGAAATGGGCCGATCTGAAGGGCGCCCGTGATAAATTAGGCGGAGTTTATTACTGCGCGTGATCTAGTGTGATCCAGTGTTTGAGAAGAGATTCCGGCACCTGGGAAGAGCATTGGCGAGATCTGGAACTGGACCCCCACACAGTTCGGCACTCGGTGCAGGGGGCGGGGAGGGTGCCCCCCACTACAGGCAGGCAGCGCTTCTACACACAGTTCAAAGACAGCCGGGGCCCCCGCCTGGCCTTCCTTCCCCAGGAGGGGACCCTCTCCCGCTCCACTGCGGCCCCACAGCCAGCCAGAAGGTCCTGCCTTCCAAGGAGCCCAGCGCCGTCATCTACCTGCCCCCCATCCTGCGTGCCCGCTCCTGCCTCCGGCCGGCCAGCATGTGCCAAGCCAACGGGGCATACAGCCGGGAGCAATTCAAGCCTCAGGCCACCCGTAAGTCTGGGACCACTCTGGGAGGAGATGGAGGTTCAGGGACAGAACACACACAACACACACCCCACACATACACACACAGGTGAGCAATCTCTAGTGATCAACAGTAATGCTCTGGAGCTTTGGCACATGTTAGATTGGGGTGGGCGGTGTCAGGGTGCTGGAGGAAGCAGTTCAGTGATAAGCATGTTTCGGGAGGCTGGGAGACAGAGTACTGGGTGAGGCACGGACCTTGCACATGGCTCCCCAGGCCTATTCAGCACTGCCAGGAAGAACCCCCAAACACAGAGCTGGGGGTATTCCCCAAGCATCACTGAATGTGGCCCCCACACCAAAAACGTTTGCCAGGCTGAGAGAGAGAACTCACTGTTCTGTACAGAATTCTGGGTTCCTCTCCTGCACCACAGCCCCTGAACACTAGTGGGAGTAATCCTGCACCCCTGCCACCCCCCCTCACACACAAACCTGGGAGTGGCCCCAAGCACCACCAGGCATAACCCCAAAATCAATCTGAAAAGTGCTTCCCAGAACCCCAGGTACAGCTCACTGTCCGGGTCTCTGGTGAGTGGGACTGTCTGGTCCTAACTCGGTCCCCAGCACGCAGCCCGCAAATGTCTGCACCCCTTCAAACTTGGCCCCTGACCTACCCTGCCCCCCCCCACCAAGGCACCACATGGCCTCACACCCCCACGATCGAATCCCAGGTCCCACTGCACCAAAGCTCCCAACCCAACCTCTTCCCGGCAAGCTCCAGTACCCCCGGCCACATGGGGGAGACCCTTTTTTCTGGTCCCCTAGGAGACTTGGAGAAGGAGAAGCGAAGACTCCAAGACATCTTTGCCAACGGGAAGGAGTCCGAGCCCCGGAAGAAGAAGTCCGCGCCCCCCAAGCAGCAGGATAAAGCCACCCCCGAGCCAGACCGCTTTAAAGAGCGTGAGGCCCCCTCCTCCCACTTCCATGTGTGCGCGGCCCCCGGGGGCGGGGGCTCCCCAAGGGCCACCAGCGAGGAGCAGGGCGGCAGAGCTGCCCGCCTGACCACGCGTCCCCCTGTGTAGTGGTGAAGGAAATCGAGGAGAGGAAGGATTTCCTGAGCGACATGGAGGCCCTGGGCCAGGGCAAAGCGTTCCGGGCCATCATCCTGGCCGAGATCTCCCAGGTGGGGGCGCAGACCCGCGAGAGGGGGACAACCGATGGGGCCAGGGCCCAGCTCTCCGCGGGGGCGGCCGCTCCAACCCCGCCCTAATGCCCCGCGTCCTGCCCCTTCACCCTTGGCAGAAGCTGCGGGAAATGGAAGACATTGACGCCAGGCGGAGCGAGGAACTCCGGAAGGCCCTGGCCGCCCTCTAGCCTGTCCCACCCTGGCCTCCAGCCACGGCCACTCAGCACTGCCCAGGCCTCGAGACCTCAAAGAACCGCCCCCCCCCCCAATCACCCCCAGCCACGGGTACCCCCGTGTGGCCCTGACTCGCCTCCCTGGGAAGCAGGCCCAGTACAGGGACACTGAGGACACGGGGTGGGGGGCCCAGGGGCCCGGCGTCCCTACAACCTCCTGTCTGCACGTGCTGTCCTGCATCTGGGGTGAACAAGACTCTTCCTCCCACCCCAGCTCGGATTAAGGCTCTTTCCCTGGTCTCCGCGCACACCAGTGTTTTCAGAGACAGAGCGTGCGGGTTCGAGGCACACGGCTCTCTCCAGCACAGGGCTGCGAGCCGCGAGCCTGTCTCCGGCGTGGGGAGGGGGGTCCCCACATTTCCCTCCTCCCCACACTTGCCTCGTGGCTGCTGCCTCTCCGTTACGCTTGGCACACAGCCTCCCTGCCGCCCTCTTCCACAGACCCACAGCCGCCAGCACGGGGGGCCTGCGGGGGGCTCAGAGTGAAGGTGCTCCGGCCTGTGCTCAGCAGCACCCCCCAGCCAAGGCGCGCTCCCCACGCAGGGCCAGGAACCACACACCCCAATATCCTCTCCACCTTCTGGCCCCCAGAATCAAAACAGCCCAGTAGTGTCAAGCAAGCCACCCCACCCGGTGGGGGGGACCCCAATCCTGGCAGCTCACCCCCCAACGTGGTCAGCAGAACACCCGGACACAGCCTGGAAGTGGGGGGTCGGCAGGGTGGCTGGGGCCCAGCTCAGAGGGCGCCAAGGGCAGGGCAGCACACCCCACCCCACAACCGCTGGGGGGTCAATGAGCCACCGGCCCCCCCCATGAGAACTCAGTCACTGCCAGCTTTCCCCCAGAGACACACCATGGGCGCCCCAGTTTTTGGAATAAGAGGAGTTGGGCCCACAACCGCACACCCCAGACATGACTCCAGGACAGCTGTGAAGGTGACGCCTTAGGCGCACCCAGTCGGGTCAGTGGATCACCTGCCTGCCCCCAAAAGGTGCCGGAGGGATGGCCCCCGGACCACCCCAGGCCCCCCAGTTAGGGGAAGGGACAAGGCAGGGAAGGCACCGACGCCGGGGCTGCCGTGTTTATTGCTGGCTCGGGGCCACCGTTCCCAGAGGTGCAGAGGGTGGGCCCCTGCGGGCACCCCAGAAAGAGCTCAGAGTGAGAGGCACAAGGCAACATCACAGCTGCAACCTGGAGTGGGGTCGGGGGCACCCCAGGCCCTCGGCAGGAACAGGCCCGTGGAGTGAGAACAACACAAGTGTGGGGGACAGCACCCCCCCGGCACGGGTCAGCACCAAGCCCTGGCTGGTGGCCAGGAACAGATGTTGCTGATGAAAAGCCTCATGGAGGCCTCGCTGGGGACATGACCCAGAGACCAGGGTGGCCGCTGGGCAGGGAGGGAAAGGAAGCACCTCTGTCACCAGGACGACCAGCGGTGCCTGCCTGCTGGCCTGCCCGGAGCAGGGAGTCCCCGGGCCAGTGGACAAGGGGCACCAGGCTGCTGCCCACTTTTGCTCCTCGGGGGCGGTCTCAGCAGCCACGACCCCCTCCCTGCAGCTCAGAACTGTGAAAAGGCCGCCCCAGCCAGGGCCAGCTGGAGGCCTGAGACCCCTGTTGTGTCATTTCCTTGCCATCGATCCCAGGAAGGGGGTGCCGAGCCGGCAGCAGGGGACGCGCGACCGCTGGGTTAGCTTTTGTCCCCCGGGGACTTGCTCTTGGCCTCGCGCTTGTTCCCCAGCAGCTTCAGCACCTTCATGGTCTTGAACTTGCCCTTCTTCTTGCCCTCAGGCTCGGCCTCCTTCTGGAACTCTGCAGAAGGGAAGGGAGGCTTCAGGCCTCTGAGCGAGGGGAGCTGGGGCGCTGGCAGCTCCTTGCCCGGCCCTAGTCCCCACCCTCTGAGAAGCCGGGTTTCCCCAGAGGGGTGCTCACACCGTGAAGACACACACCTGCCGACCGCCAGAGCCCTAAGACCCCTCAAGTCATGGGTCCATTCAGGAGATGGGAAAAAGTACGGCCAAATTCAATAATAAAAAATTTTAAAAATAGGAGGCTGGAGTGATAGCACAGCAGGCAGGGCGTTTGCCTTGCATGTGGCCGACCCGGGTTCGATTCCCAGCATCCCATATGGTCCCCTGAGCACCACCAGGAGTGATTCCTGAGTGCAGAGTCAGGAGTAACCCCTGTGCATTGCCAGGTGTGACCCAAAAAAGGAAAAAAAAAAGAAAAATTTAAAAATAGGGGCTGGATTTTTAAATTTTTTAAATTTTTAAATTTAAATTTTAAAATTTTTAAATTTTAAATTTAAATTTTTTAATTTTTTAAAAAAATTTTAAAATAGTGCAGCGGATAGAGCATTTGCCTTGCACGCGGCTAACCCGGGTTTGATTCCAGCATCCCATTATGGTTCCCTGAGCACCGGCCAGGAGTAATTCCTTTCCTGAGTGCAGAGCCAAGAGTAACCCCTGTGCATCGCCGGGTGTGACTCAAAAATCAAAATAATAATAATAATAAAAACTAAAAATTAATTAAAATTAAAAAGTGCAGCCATAAAGACCTGCAGCGCTCGGCTGCAAGCAGGACCCTTAAGCTCCATCCCTGTACTTGCCCCGCCCACAAACAAGCACCACCCACTGGCAGGCCCCGCCCACCAACACTGGCCCATGATAGGCCCCGCCCACAAACACGCCCCTACACAGCAACCTCAGACCCCAGTACAGGGACCTAGGTCGAGCCCTGTCCCAGCGCACACCGCGGCCAGGGAGCATTGCCAGGCCCTCTGGGCACCCTGGTCAGTCCAGGAGGTGGGCAGAGCTGGGGGGAACAGCCCCAGGGAAAATGCTGCCCTGCCCCTACCCCAGAGGCCTCACCTTTCTTCTTGATCATGGCCTCCAGCATCTTATCTTCCTCCTCCTCCCTGCAAAGAGAAAGGCAGCTGAGCAGGGGGGAGGGGATGGGGGGTCACGCGGGCTCTGGGTCACTCAGGGTGGGCCGTGGGGATGGCAGACAGTGGCTGTCACCTCTGCCGGTCCTCGTCCAGGCAGTTGACGATGGCGTTGCGCTGTTCGATGAGCGTGACCAGCTCCTTCATCAGCTCCTTCTCCCGGACCCGGTCTTCCTCTGTCCAGTCCTTCTCTGCCGAGGAGAAACGGGGGGGATGTGGGAAGGCGCAGCACCCCCTGTGCCCGGAGACAAGGCCAGGACCCACACGGCAGGGCACAGGGTACCCGCCCCAGGTTGGGTGCCATTAAAGGGCGGGGGCGCTCCAGGGTCGCTCTAGGGGAGACCGAGGCTAATCAGCTGAAGGAAAGGGAAGAGCGAAAGACAGCTAAGGAGAGAACAGGAGAGCAGAAGGACCAGAGAGACAGGACAACTGGGAGGGCGCTTGCCTTGCACACAGCTGACCCGGGTTTGATCCCTGACACCCCAAATGATTCCTCGAACCCTGCCAGCAATGATCCCTGAGCACAGAGCCAGGAGTGGTACAAAAAAGGGGGATAAATAGGGGAGCTGGAGAGACTGCACAGGGGTTAAGGCTCTTGCCTTGCCCATGGCTGAGCCCTGGCTGGCCCTGCAATATGGGCCCCTGAACGTCACCAAGGGACACCCCTGGGCACAGAGCCAGGAACAGCCCCAAATCCAACACCCCCCTTCAAAAAGCCACAGCGGAGGGGAGAGAGAGAGAGAGAGAGAGAGAGAGAGAGAGAGAGAGATGACAAAGGGGCCCGGAAGCGGGTTCAAGCGGCAGAGCACAGGTGTGGGAGACCCAGGCACCATCCCTGGCACCGCACGTGTGTCCCCAAAACAGAAACAAGACTCTTGAGCCAAAAGGCCCAGCAGCAAAAGCACCTGCCCTGCAAGTATGTGGTCATGCGGGCGACCCCAGTGCTACCCACGTATGCCAGGCACAGCCCCGGGAGCACCTCGGCACTGGTGCGTGGTCTCCAGCACACAGCAAGGGTGGAGCTAGGTTTGAACCCGGCAGCCTGACGCCCCAAGATACAGCGTTGATGCTGCGCCGAGGGGTTCAACTCACTGAGGCCTTATCCTGGCGCCTCACACTCCAAAGGCCAATCCATGGACACAATGACACCCCCCCACCCCCACCCCGGGGAATCGGGCAGCCACTTGGCAACCGGCACCCAGTGCAGTGCCCACTCCAGCCACAAGGTGTCGCTGTGCCTCACACCAAGGGCCAAGCAGCTGGCTTCAAGCAGTCACACGCAGGTCAGTCAGCAAGCAGGGCGCAGAGACAGCACAGTGGGTGGGGCGCAGCTGACCCAAGGTTCCATCCCAGGCATCTCTGATGGCCTCCTGGGCCCTGCCAGGAGTGAGCCCTGAGCAGTGCTGACTGAGTGCAGCCCAAAACCAAACAAAAAAGACAGAGAAGGAAGGAAGGGAGGGAGGGAGGGAGGGAGGAAGGAAGAGCAAGCAGTCCACGGGGCAGACTCCCACACCTGCTCCCCATCTCCCAAGTCCTGAGCACCTTCATTCCCACTGACCAGCACACAGGACCACAAGTAGCGGGGCCATCAGGGGCCCGGGAGAGGGCCCAGTGGTCAGGGCGCAGGACCCGAGAGAGCCCCAACACCGCATGGGCCGCAGGACCACCAGGATGGCCCTGAGGGCCCCACAGGCCTGACCCAAACAGCGCTGCATCTTCTGGCCAGGCTAAGGACTGTCAAGATTGGCTAACGGAATGTTGCCGACAGTGGCGCCGGCCCCCCTGGAAAACGGGGAGGCCCCCCAAAAGAAAGGGCAATCACCCGGCAGGCTGGACCTGGGGCAGAACAGACTCTGGTTCCTGCTCCTCCTGCGCCCTCCAGCCCTGATGCCATTTCTGCCCCCGACCCCTATTCCAAGCCCACTGGACATGGGGGTCCATCTGCTGCCCCCTCTCCCAGGGCAGCGCTGCCCTGCAAAGCTCTGAGTCTGGCCAGACACTCCCCGGGACAGCTGGGCCCCCTGCCTCCGCGTTTTGCAGAAGAGGGGGTGCCCACCCCCGGCCCACCTGCGAGCTTTGTGCTGCCAGGACACGGGAGCGCGCCCCCGACACGGGCCAGGGGCCAGGCCATCCCTCCCCACCGCCCCTCACAGTCACCTCCCCTCCCTCCCCTCCGCGCCCGGCGTGCTGTGGCCGCGCTCACCTGGCTTGTTGAGGAGGCAGCGGAGCTCGTACTCCACGTCGGCCTGGTGCTGCTCCAGGTTCTGCTGCTTGAAGCTGCGGGGTGTGGTGGGGTGGGGGGGAGAAAAGGCAGCTGAGCCCTGCGTGAGCCAGGGAAAGGCTCCCAGGAGGAGGGGCGAGAGGGGTGTGAGGAGGGTGGGAGGACTCAGAGGGCTGGGAGCACTCTAGAAGGGCGGGAGGACTTAGGAGGGGTGGGAGGAGGGGAAGGACCTAGGAGGAGCGTGAGGAGGGGGAGGACCTAGGAGGGGCAGGAGGGGGGAGGACTCAGGAGGGGTGGGAAGCACTGGGAGCACTCACACGTAGATGAGCTCTGACTCCCGGCGCACCAGCAGGTGTTTCTCATGGATGAGCTTGAACCAGTCCACCAGCAAGTCGTCCTCACGGCCCTCTGCGAGCCCAGCACGGTCTGAGTGTCTCAGGGGCCAGGGTGCCACCCCCCAGGAGCCCTGCCCGCCCCCAAGCACCCCGAGCCTCACCATTCACCCCACTGCGCAGCTTCTCCTCCAGCAGCACCCCACGGTGCTCCAGGGAATCCAGCTGGCGCTCGATGGCGTCCATCTCGCCGTGGATGTCCTCCTCGGGGATGTATTGGTCAGCCTGCACCTGTGCACACCCCTGGTCACGGCAGGTACCGTCCCCGGCCCCCTGGCTGTCCCCACCCAGTCCGCAGGGCTCCCTGCTTGGGGCAGGGCTGGGAGGCGGCCTCTAAGCACCCCAGAAACAGAGGCACTGGTCCCTCCCCTCCCCCAGGAGAGAGCCCCCCTTCTCCCCACCCAGAGAGCTCTCAGAGGGGCACCAGGGACCCCACCAGAGCACCTCCGCGTCCCTGAGGGTGCCTGCAACCTTGACTTGTGACCAGGAAGCTCAGCCTCCCACCCTACTGCTCTAGTCGGGGTGGCGGGGTGGGGGGGGGGCTGGCAGGGGTTGTGTGAGCTTGCTTTCAGGGGGCGCTCAAAATCCCCCCTCCTGAGGTCAGAGCGATAGGACTGTGGGGGGTGCTTGTCCTGCACGTGGCTGACCTGGGTTCAAACCCCGGCACCCCATCTGGTCCCCCAAGCCCCTCCAGGAATGATTCCTGAGCACAGAGCCAGAAGTTAACCCTGAACACCGCCGGGTGTGGCCCCCAAACAAAAACAAACAGGCAAAACAGAGACCCGTCTCCCCCCGACCCCCATCCCAGTCTGGGGGCAGCTCCGCAGACAGACCCCTCCGAGGAATCTGCATTCGGGGCTCTGAGGATACCTTGCGCTTGATGAGCGGGAAGCCGTGGCCGGGCGCAGGGGGTCTCGCTGGCTTGGACCCCCTGGTGGCCTTTCTGGCGGCGGGGGACGCTGTGGGTGACGCCTTCCGGTTGAAAGGGTTCTCCTTGCAGGAAGACTAAAGTTGGGAGCACCACAGGGGTAAGTGTGGGGAGGGGCGGGAGACCCCAATCCCCCTCATCTCCTAAGCTGCAGCCCGACCACGTGCAGCTCTAGGTCCTGAGCTCTGGCTGTGTCCCCGTTCCCCCTGGGCCACGTCCACACCCCTTCGCTGGCATCTTTCATGCTGCAGTGACCCAGAAAGCTGATGACACAGGAAGCTGAGCCAGCTCCAATGCAGGGGTCAAAGTCACCCACGTGTGTGTGCGTGTGTGTGTGTGTGTGTGTGTGTGTGTGTCCAGGCTGCAGAAGGACCCCATCTTCTGTGATCCCCTCCTCACACACTGACTCTGTCCCCTCTGGTCAGTGGGGAGCCCCAGCTCCTGGGCAATCGGGTGTCAGGGGGAGCCCAGCTCTGGGAGTCTTGGCCAGTGACTGTGGGGACACAGGAGAGCCCCTGACCAGAGCCCTCTCGGGGGGCCCTAGGTGGGAAGGGAACTGGGTCTGAACCGGAGATGGTTTGTCTGCCGTGGGGAGTGGGGCTCAGCTATCGATGGCTCCCCTGGGTGCAGGGAGCACCGAGCAGAAGGCCCACAGCGGGGAGCATGGGGAGAGCTCAAAGGGATGCACGCCCCGGTCTGAATCCCGACACCCCAGCACAGGCAGGGTGAGCACCCCAAAGCAAGCAAGAAACAAAGCAAACCCAGTGGGCCCTCAGGACCCCTCACACTCCAGGACAGCCGAGTGTGGGGTACACGGGAATAATCCCATAGGGAGCCCCCATGAACACAGCACCCAGGAAGGAGGGTGGTGCTCAGCTCTGCAACCTCAGTCCCGCACGCTGGGGGTCCCGCGCCCCTCACCTGACTGTGAGCGTCTGGGAACCCAGGGCAGCAGACTCAGCCACGGGGACAGTCATGCACACAAGGCGTCCCCCCCTTTTGCCCCCTCCCGGCCTGGGAGCCCGTGGCCCTCCATGGCCCCCACGCGAGCAGAGCGGTGTCCCAAGCAGAGCTTCCGGGGCTGGAGGGCAAAGACAAGGGCAGGTGCAAAGGCGGCCGGGCTAACGGGGGCCTCCAAGTGCTCGGGAGGCGGAGGGGTGAGGTGAGCAGATAAGGGGGTTTCCAGGTATCTGGACATGAAGGGCCGGGTGAGGACAGGGGCTAGCGGGCTGGGACAAGAGCGGGCGTGCAGGGCAGCAGCCAATGGACAGGGATGAATGGATTCGAGGCTTGAAGAATTGGTTCGCAGCCACAGCCAAGGTCACCCCACGGTCACCCCAAGTCCAAGCCCCGCCCGCTGCGGGGTGGACACTCACCTTTACCTGCAGCTGTGGAGACGAGGTTCCGGAGGAGGGTGCCGGGCTCCGGTCTCCCACCGGGGGTGGGGTGGGCTTGGCGGGCGGGGGCCGCGGGCTGCCCCGGCCACTGTGGGCCAGAGCCGGGCTGGCCTGGGGGGTCCGCTCCCCCCGAGACTCTAGCAGCTCTGCAGAGGACGAAGAGGAGGAAGCGGCCGAGAGGCTGGCAGAGGTGGCGGGGCGGCCCGGGGCGTGGACCGCGGGCTCTGAGGAGCTCTTGGGCACGGTGGGCGGTGCCAGCAGCTCCCCAGGGCCAGGCTGGCTGGACCCCTCAGAGGACAGACTCTCCACGCTCGGGGCAGGCGACGGGGTGGCCGAGGGGGGCTCGGAGTGAGAGAGGCGGGCAGCGTGGAGGGCTGCAGGGACAGACAAGCAGGCGAGGGGCAATCAGGACCCCCAACACACACACACACGGCCAGGTGACTCCCAGACACCAGCGGGGCGCATGGTAGCAGAGGTGACCAGGGGACAATCACTTGACACCACCCCAGGAAAGAAACCAAAACCCCAAGAGTTTCTCCCTGCCGGGAAACGGCTCCAAGGAGGGGAGCTCAGGCTTTGCGTTTGGAACCTCGGGTTGGACCCCACCACCGCATGGTACCCCAGAAGCTGAGCCGAGAGCCAACAGGACCGTCCCTGTTTGGCCCCATGAGGCAGGTGGGGCGGGGGCAGAGCAGGGGTCCACGCCGAGCCGGCTCCAGCCAGGCACTGCCCAGTTCCACTCCCTCCTCGGAGTGCCAGCCTAGTGCCCACATTCTCTGCCCAGCGTTTCTGGGGTGAGGGGCAGACAGTGTGGGGAGGCACCGCAGGGCCTGTTCTGGGGCAGCCCACGCTCACCCACCCCCCACAGTAAAGAACCAGGCTCAGAAGGCCCCGGGCCTGGACTGGGGCCCAGGAGATGACCAGTTGGTTGGTTGTCTGTGGTCATCTCTAGAACACTCTTGGACCCCCTTTCTGAAGGGTTCCCACTCAAATCTTTTTTTTTTTTGGGGGGGGAACCACATCCAGTGATGCTCAGGGGTTGCTCCCAGGTCCACACTCAGGAATCACCTCTAGTGATGCTCAGGGGACCCTATAGGGTGCTGGGGATCAAACCCAGGTCGACCGCATGCAAGGCAAATGCCCTCCCCGCTGTACTATTGCTCCAGTCCATCAAGCCTTTAATTTTGGGGGGTCTCCCAAGCAGCGCCCCGGGCCCTGTGCATACTCATGAGCCAGGGTGGATGCGTGGGGTTGGTGACACAATGCAGCTCAGCCCATGCAGGGCCAGGCGTGGGACTCGGGGCCTTGCGTGCATGCAGGATGGGGGTGCCCCAGGCCTCTGGGTCTCCCCCACCCTCCCATGAGAACTTGGAAAAAGGCAGACCCCAAACCTAGTGGATGGCGACTCAGCCGGGGCCCCACACGGACACGGGAATCCCACAACCACCCTGCGCTCGCCCCAGAGAGGGAGCAGAGCGCCTGCGCACACCCCGTCCTCCACACAGGGGGTCAAGGACAGCCAGCAGGGTGGACACGCGCCGAGCACGAGACCGAGCCACCCAGAGTCCAGCCAGAGCCCAAGGCCGGCCCCCACAGAGAGTGACCAGAGGGGCCGGGGCGGCACTCCAGGAGCCCAGCTCTGGGCTCAGAGAGAGCCTGGACCGATCAGTCTCCAGGGACGTGGGTTCGTCAGGTGCAGAGGCTGAAGCCTGGGTTTGAATCCTGCCTTCACCACCTCAGTGCCACATGGCCTTGGGGAAACCACTTCCCCTCTCTGGACTCTATCTACCTCCCCTGTGCCATGCGGGTGGGGATGGCGGGGATATGACAGCCACTCCTGAGGGGTCACTCTCCAGCTAACAGAGGGCCCCTGAGAGACACTGGGAATCTGGCCAGGCAGGGGGTCCCCCTGCCCCCCACCCTGCCCCCAACACCAGACCCGACCCGACACCCAACTCACCGAGCGGAGAGGCACCGGGCACTCGAGGGGCGGGGCGCTTCTTTGTCTTGGGGCTGCTGGTGGGGGTGATCCCATACCAGGGGTGCAGGGACTTGGAGGTGGGCTCAGGGGGGCACAAGGCAGACTCAGTGGCCGGGCTGGGAGCAGCGGGGGGCTGTTGCTGCTCCTCCTCTTCCTCCTCCTCCTCTTCATCCTCAAAGGGGTTGTAGGGCTTGGGCTCGGGGCCGGCGGCCGCGGGGTTCTGCTGGGTGGCCCCCTCCTCCTGACCCCCACCGTCTGCCCGCCTGGGGGGCCCGGGACTGCCGGGGGGCAGGGGGGCTGGTTTCTTCTTGGGCTCGGCCTGCACCAGCGTGATCCATGGTGGGTCCTTCCTGGGGGCGGGCGTCCTGGGGGTGGGGGGGACAGGCAGAAACCGTTGGAGATGTCCGTGGGGGCCAGCGCCCTCACTCCTGACAGTCTGTACTTGTGTCGAAGTGGGTGTCGGGGGAACAGTGACCAACATTCCCGTGCCCTTGGGGCAGGTGGCAGTCGGGACCCTCCTGGCCAACCCAGGAAGAACACTGAGGTCATGTGTCACCCCATGACAGGGCAGAGTCACCCGGTCTTGGGGGGAGGGGGGCGTCCCCCATCACCTCAGAGCTGAGGATCATACGTGCCCCCTGTCCCGGAGTCCCCCCAGAGCTCAGGTCTCGCAAGGACCGTCACAAGCCGTGCTGGGGGAGGGACTGCTCCCAAGGACGGCTGCAGGGGCCGGAGGGGCCCCTGTGCCAGGGCCCCATCTCTGGGGCTGAGCTCCGAGGGGTGAGTGCCACGTGCCCCCCGTTACTGTGGGGGAGGTCTGGCAGGGGGAAGGAGTCCCCCTCAGTGTCCCCAGGAAGTCTCGCCCCCACCCCACCACAGTGGGAGTGTCGGGTGCAGCCTACCTCTCGGACAGCCTGGGCGTCCCTCTGGGCTTGGGGACCGGGGGCTCGTGCAGCCTTCCTAGGCGGGACAGGAGAGAGACGCAGGCCTTCATGGGTGTCCGCGGGGCTCAAGGGCCAGCCAGGGCGTCTGCTGCCCGAGGCCCGCCCTCCAGCCCGGCAGTAAGTGACGCTGCAGGTGCCCCGGCACCCTCACGGCCCCACCTGCCAGCCCCGTGGAGATTAGATAAGTCCTATGGGGACAGGGAGGGGACGGGCAAAGGGACCGGGCCAGGCCAGCCCGAGACCACAGCTGCATTTCCCTCGAGAAGGGGGCACTCGAGTAACCCTCAGGCACCTCCCAAGGACAGCAAGAAACAAGGTCCTCAATCAGTCCCAAGGTCACCTCCTCCTGGGAGCCTTCCGAGACTGCCCAGAGTCCTCTGTGACCCCAATAGCCTCCGCACCTCCCATCCTAATAGCCACATACATTTCTTTTTTTCTTTGACTTTTGGGTCACAGCCGGCGATGATATACAAGGGTTCCTCCTGGCTCTGAACTCAGGAGTCACCCCTGGCGGTGCTCAGGGGACCTTATGGGATGCTGGGAATTGAACCCGGGTCGGCCGCATGCAAGGCAAATGCCCTACCCGTGGTGCTATCGCTCCAGCTGCCTAGCCACGTACATTTCTGCCTCTGGGCCGGTCGCCCCCTCAAGAGGCAGCCCCAGAATAGCACATGTCCCGAGTACCACGTCTCTCCCGATCAATCTGGGCAGCCCAGCACCGCTCAGGGGGCAGCCCTGGACTGCCCACTCACCATTCACGAGGCCGCTGCCCCCCGACTCCGTGCTCTCATGCGCCAGGCTGGAGCGGGGCCGCGGCGTGGGTGGGGTGAGCGCCGAGCTCTCGGAGGCCTTCCTGGGGGCCGGGGTCGGGCGGCCGGATGGGGAGCCGGCCGGCTGCAGGGGTTTGCTCGCCAGCGGGGGCTTAGCAGGGACCTGGGGCCGGGCCTCGGGGCCAGCCTTGGGGGTGTCCACCTCGGGCCCGGCATCTGCCCCAGGGCCCGGGCTGCCACTCTCCGCATCCTCGGCCTGGGCCTGAGGCTGCGGGGGGAGCCCGGGTTTGGCCCCCGACCGCGCCCCGGGGCCCAGCCTGGCGCACTGCTCAGCACACACGAAGGTGCCATCTTCCGGCCCGCTCTGGTAAGCCCCGGGCAGCAGGGTGCTGGCACAGTGGCGACACCTGTGGGAGAAGGTGGGGTCAGGCTCCACCCTGGGCCAGCAGCCCCCTGGCAGCCCCTCGTGCCAGCTTGGCCCGGACCCCGGCTCAGTAGCCCGTGCTTCCAGTGGGAAGTCTAGAACATTCCATGCCTGGGAATGGGGTTCATCAGCGGGGTACCCCATGGTTCATGTGCAGAAGGGCATCCGCATTCCACTTGGGGTGGCTACGGCTGCCCACCGAGTTTGTCCGGGACACCTTGTGCCCACCACACAGGAGGGGCCACCAGCTCAGCGCACACCTGACCCCGCAGAGCTGCCCGAGGCCACATGAGCCAGTGATGGTGGCCACAGCCTAGCCGTGGCCCTGGACTGCCACCAGGTGCAGCCGTGTGGAGCCCTCTCCCCTGGGCCCCACCCCGACACCCCAGGGCTGTGCTTGGGAGCCTGAATGTTTGGGTGTAACTGCTCCTTGAACACCCACACAGTGACACAGACATACAGTCACACAGTGATAGTCACACAGTCACAGATTCACACAGACATAAATAGTCACAGACACAAACATTCAGTCACACAGATTTATATATACCCTCAGTCACACAGACACACGCTCACAGTCACACAGACAACCAATTACAGACATGTGTACTCACATGGTCACACACACATAACTGATCACAGACACATGCACTCACCTAGTCACACACACACAGACACACAGTCACATAGACACACTCACAGCCACACATAATCAATCACAAACATATGCCCCCACACAGTCACACACACAATCATACAGACATAAACACTCAGTCAGATACTCACATAGTCAGACACAGAGTCACACACATATATACACCCAGTCACAGACATATGCACTCAGTCACACAGAAACAAACACAGTCACAGACACACCAGTTACACAGACATGAACACAGACACACAAATAGCCGCACAGACACAAACACATAGTGACACAAATACACACAGGCACACAGACACACATAGAGACATAAAGACACACAGACATATACACTCACGGATACACACAGTCACAGACTCATAGTCACACCTGGTCACAGAAACACATACAGTCACAGACACAAGAACAAACACAGAGAGACACAGGCATAGACACAGTCACAGAGGCACAAACATATCACAAAGACACAGTCACACAGGCACATCACGTCACAGACAAACACAATCACAATCGCACAGACATAAGCCAGCACAGGCACAGAGTCAAGGAAACACTGTCACACAGACGTAGGCCGCACAGTTGCACCAACACCGTGACACAGACAACTCAAACACAGTCACACACAGTCATAAGACAGACGCAGTCACAGAAACACACTCACCCGTTGCTCTGGTCAGTACAGTCACAAAAAACACGAGCAGTCACAGACAGTAATAACACACACACACAGAGACACACTGGCAACACATTCTCACACACAAGAAACACAAACACAAGCCGTCAACTGCTGCACACAAACAGGGACAAGGCCGTCAGAAGCGCACACAGAGCCACAAGACACACCGCCATGAAATCGGCGCCAGGGGGCCGGAGTGACGGTGCAGGCGGAGGGCGTTTGCCCTGCACGCGGCGCACCGGGTTCAACCCCGGCACCCCGCAAGGGCGCCCCCAGACCCCCAGCGCGGCCGGGACGGCCCCAGCAGCCCCACAGGCGCCCCGCGAGGCGGCCCGCTTGCTCCCTACGTGAGCCTCAAAGGTGCCGGCGGTGGCGGCTCCGCCGGGCTTCCCTCAGGCAGGCGGCGACGCGCAGGCGACGCTCGCGGCGGGGTCTGGCCTCGCTCCGCGCCCGCTCTGACGCGGGGGTCCCGCCCCACCCCCACCCCCCGCATCAGGCAGCGCGCCCGGCGCCCCAGCCAGCGCCTCTCAGGGCCGGGTCGCGGGCGGGCGCGGCCTCCTCAGAGAAGCCGCTGAGGCGGGGAGGAGCGACGCGCTCGCCCGCTGCAGACGCGCGCCTGGGGACCGCGGCACCTGAGGCGCCCTCGGCCCCGCCCACAGACGCCCCCGAGCCACGCCCCGTCTGGGCCAAGCCTCGCCGCGGACACGCCCCCATTTAGCCCCACCCGTCAAGACGCCCGCTGGCCACGCCCCACCTGGGCCAAGCCAAGCCGCGGACACGCCCCCACTTGGCCCCGCCCGTCAAGACACCCGCTGGCCACGCCCCCTCCGGGACGAACCTCTCCGCGGACACGCCCCCATTTGGCCCCGCCCCGCTGCGGCAAGTCCCGCCCGTCAAGGCGCCCACTGTCCACGCCCCACCTGGGCAAAATCTCGCCAGGGACACGCCCCCATTTGGCCCCGCCCGTCAAGAAGCCCTCTGGCCACGCCCCATCTGGGCCAAGCCTCGCGCCGGGCACGCCCCCGTAGGCCACGCCCCTAGACGGCATGACCCGCCCACAAAGACGCCCGCTGGCCCCGCCCACACTCACCGGAAGCAGTGCCGGTGGTAGAGCCTGCCCTCTGCCAGGTGCCGCTGCACCAGGTGGACGTGCTGCCCACAGGCCGCGCACGTGCTGCTGGGGGGTGGGTGGGCGCCGGAGGACAGCTCCTCGTCCTGCAGGGAAACAGGGTGGCGGTAGGGCCGCGGTCCTCCTGCCTCCAGAATGCCCCCCTCTCGCTTCCCCCCAAGGGTGCAGGAGTTTGCTGCAGCAGCTCCCCGGTAGTCCTGGCTGCGAGTGGGGAAGCCAGAACCCCAAGGGTGAAGCCGGACCCACTCCGCCTCCTGGTCCTCGGCATCTGGGCAGCTCCAGGCCCGGTCACCCCGTCTTTCCCAGGGCACGCCGCAGGGTGGGTGACTGTTCCCATCCTGATCCACACATCCCGTGCATGGAGTGTGGCATCTGAGTTCTGATCCGCATATCCATGCACGGACTGCAGCCTCCTTACTGGGCGTGGGGCCTCCAGGGAGCCGCACTAGGAAGGGCCCAGCTGTCTCAACAGGAAGGATGCCACTCTGTCCCATTGCCACCGCATCCCTGAAAGTTCTGGGACCTGCCCTCCCCTTCCCAGGCCCGGCATCTCCTGCCCCTGGCCCCTGCCTGGGACCAGAACACCCCATTTGCTAAGGAGGCTCAAGGCACCCTCCAAAGACAGCCCCGCCACCCCCCACCTGCCGCGCAGGCAAAGGCCCACCTGAGTTCCTGCCCCCGGTTCCGTAGGCACTTCGGAGGGCGGGGAGGAAGGCGCCATACCCTTCGGCGGGGGCGAGACCCCTGCAGCAAGAGACAGGAGAGAGACTTTAGGGCAGGCAGAAATGGGGAGCCAGAGTAAGCTCTGCCGCCGTGGCCAGTCATTCAAGGGGACCCCGCCCCAAGGGCAGTGTAGAGGACAGGACAGGCCAGAGCTCCGGCACCCAGCGCAGCTGAGCGAGTCCCAAGGGGCTGGGGAGTGGGCCACGCCCAGGGTCTGCAGGAGCTGCCCAGTCCAGCCAACAGGCCTGGCCGGAACCTGCCCTCCTTCCTGAGCACTGAGGAACCCCAACTCTCTGTCCCAGGGGCCCTGAAACTACACCCCTTTTACCACTCTGTGCCCGGAACTCAAATCTGGGGGGCTGGCGAGATGGCCCGATGGGCTGAGCACAGACTCTGCAGGTCAGAGCCGGGGCTCCGTACCCAGCACCGTAGGCAGCAAGCCCCAAGCACAAAGCTGGGGGCAGCCGCAGCCCCCAAGTGCTGCCCATTGGAGCCCCAAAAGCAAAAAGAATCCAGACCTTTCTCCCCTTCCTGTACAGAGCACCTACAAGTTCCATTTTTGTTTGTTTTCTGGGACACGCCCAGCTGTGCTCGGGGCTTTCTTCTGTGTGATTTTTTTTTTTTTTTTTGCTTTTTGGGTCACACCCAGCGACGCACAGGGGTTCCTCCTGGCTCTGCACTCAGGAGTTACTCCTGGTGGTGCTCAAGGGACCCTATGGGATGCCAGGGATCAAACCCGGTCGGCCGCATGCAAGGCAAATGTCCTACCTGCTGTACTGTCACTCAGGCCCGCACTGTGATCATTTTAAAAAAATAAAAATGAGGGACTGGAGCGACAGCACAGCAGGGAGGCCGTTTGCCTTGCACGCCGCTGACCCAGGTTCGATCCCCAGCATCCCACAGGGTCCCCCAAGCACTGCCAGGAGTAATTCCTGAGTGCATGAGCCAGGAGGAACCCCTGAGCATTGCTGGGTGTGACCCAAAAGGCAAAATAAAATAAAGCTCAACTGGGGGCTTGAGCGATAGCACATTGGGGAGGGCATTTTCCTTGCACGCAACCAACCCAGGTTCGATTCCCAGCATCCCACAGGGTCCCCCCAGCACAGCCAGGAGTAATCCCTGAGTCCAGAGCCAGGAGTCTGCCAGGAGGGAACCTGCCAAAGACCCTCCATCCTGGCTGGCTGACAATGACCAGAAGGAGCTACTGGGCCTCTGAGCACCTGTGGGGAGCACATGCCCCCCCAAACAAATACAACCAAGCCTGGACAGTACAGTAGGTAAGGTGTAATGTGCCTACCCTACGTGCAGGGGACCCGGGTTCGATCCCCGGCACCCCATATGGTCCTCCAAGCCCCTCCAGGAGTGATTCCTGAATGCAGAGCCAGGAGTAAGCCCTAAACACCAACAGGTGTGGTTTAAAAGCAGAACAAACAACAAAAGTTGTCTGCTAACATGGTCTAAAGTGACATCTTGTACAGGTGTTTCATTGTATGACCGAGACTTAGACCCGAAAGCTTTGTAACTGCTCTCACGGTGATTCAATAAATAAAATTATAAAAAATGAAAAGAAAGTAAGGTGGAGTTCATGCACAATTCAATCAGGTAATCAGTGGCTGAATAAATAGCAGTACTCCTACATAAAAAAAAAAAAAGAGAAAAAAAGAAAAAAATAAAGTGACATCTCCAGGGGCACCGCAGGTAGGGTCCTTGTCTTCTATGCGGTAGACCGGGGTTCAACGCCTGGCACCCCAGATGGTCCCCCTCACCCACCAGGAGTGCAGAGCCAGGAGTAAGCACTGAGCATTGCCAGGTGTGGCCCCCAAACCAAAAGTAAAATAATAATTAATTAAATGGCATTTCCAAAGTCCAGGTCATTTCAAAGTCTCAGTATCCGTTAATGAACGAACACTGAGATCCGTGGAGGGGTGGCAGGGATCACAGTCAAGGATGGAACAGAGGGGCTGGAGCAATAGCTCAACGGGGAGGGCGTTTGCCTTGCACGTGTCCGACCCGGGTTCAATTCCCAGCATCCCATATGGTCCCCCAAGCACCGCCAGGAGTAATTCCTGAGTGCAGAGCCAGGAGTAACCCCTGAGCGTTGCTGGGTGTGATCCAAAAAGCAAAAAAAAAAAAAAAAAAAAAAAAAAGGATGGAACAGGGAGATGCATGCTGAAAGTAGACTCTACACCAAACATGACTGCCACTCAATGCCTCTTTTGCAAACCACAGCACCCAAAAGGAGAGAGAGAACAAAAGGGAATGCCCTGCCACAGAGGCAGGGTGGGATGGGGGGAAGGGGGGTGGGAGGGATACTGGGATTAGTGGTGGTGGAGAATGGGCACTGGTGAAGGGATGGGTGTTTGATCATTGTATAACTGAAACCCAAGCACAAAAATTAGTAAGTCTACAACTGTACTTCATGGTGTTTCACTAATTAAAAAAAAAAAAGAAAAAAAAAGGATGGAACAGGTCCCCATACCATCACCAACACCATCACTCAGTGGCCCCCAGTCCCACAACTACCACAGCACTGGATACAAGTGCAATAAAAACAAAGGTTTTTCAAGATAAAGCTGGCGGGCCGGGCAGATAAAGGCCTGAGGCTGGTGCATCGTGGGCTCCCCATGCAGAAGGCCCAGGCTCTGTTCTCGGTACTCCATGGTCCCCCCCAGCACCACAGATGGTGACTCCTGAGCACTGAGACAGGAGTATTCCCTGAGCACTGCCAGGTGAGCCCCAAAGCCAACAAAATGATAAAGTAGGGTGAGGCTCAGGCTCAGTGATAGAGTGTTTTTTGGTTTTGTTTGTTTCTTTTTGCTTTTTGGGTCACTCCTGGTGACGGTCAGGAGTTACTCCTGGCTCTGTGCTCGGAATCACTCCTAGCACAGTGCTCAGGCAACCATATGGGATGCTGGGAACCAAACCCGGGTTGGCCACGTGCAAGGCAAATGCCCTCCCTGCTGAACTATCACTCCAGCCCCTCAGTGGCAGAGTGTTTGCCTTGCATGTCTGAGGTCCTGGGTTCCAGCCACAGCACCATTTTTTTTAAAAAAAAAAAAAGGGAATGAAACCGGATGGAAACTGTCTGGGTGTCTGGAAGGGGAAGCACTGCGTTTCCTGAGACTCATTTCGATTATGTGCATGCAAAGGAAAGGGAAACGGACCTTTCATTGGGAGTCCCGGGTACAGCACTCAGCGAACCAGGGAACATTTTGTTTTTCACACACCTGACAATGCTTAGAGATTATTCCTGGCTCAGGGACCCTATGGGATGCCGGGGATCGAACCTGGGTCAACCATATGCAAGGCAAGCATCCAACCCAGTTGCCTCTTGGTTTGTCTTTTTTTCTTTTTTGCTCATTGGGTCACACGCGGCGATGCTCAGGGGTTCCTCCTGGCTCTGCACTCATGAATCATGAATTACTCCTGGTGGTGCTCGGGGGACCTTTTGAGATGCTGGGAATTGAACCCGGGTTGGCCGCGTGCAAGGCAAATGCCCTCCCTGCTGTGCTACCGCTCCAGACACCTGAAACGCTTTTTTTTTTTTTAATGATGAGCTACGGCCGAAGTGACCGTAGAGCAGGTGGGGTGCTTGGATCCCCGGCATCGCATATGGTCCTTGAGTACCGCCAGGAGTGATCCCTGAGCACACAGCCAACTGCGGTCTCAGTTCCCCGCCAAAAAACGAAAAACATACTTGGGGCCGGAGCGATGGTCCAACAGGTAGGGCATTTGCCTTGCACGCGGCCGACCTGGGTTTGATTCCCAGCATCCCATAGGGTCCCCTGAGCACCGCCAGGAGTAATTCCTGACTGTAGAGCCAGGAGAAACCCCTGAACATCACCGGGCGTGAACCTCCCCAAAATCAAAATAAATAAATCATTTATTTCAAAACAACGTATCCCGTGACCTTCCACACGCAGGCAGGGCTGGAATGGGAGTCAGGGGCAGCACAGAAGCCGGCACTCCGAGCTCTCATGCCAGCCCCTCGCCGCCCCCGTGGGCTCTGCTCTCTCCCAGGGGTCCTGCAGGAACTGCCCAGTGGGCCGAGAAGGGGCCGGGCCAAGAAGGCCTGCAGGACTCCCCAGAGGCCCTCGGCTCCCCAGACACCCCAGTTTTCAAGCTGTGAAGCCACTTCCCCCGGCCTCATCTGCAAACAGGAAGTGGAGGTGCAGGGGGCACCCGGCACGAGGGCGCCTCTCCTCCAGCACCTGAGCTCAGGGGCTCCCCGGGGACCTGCTCAGGCTCCCAGAGCCCCCGACGGCACAGCGCGCGCGACCATCCCCCTGCAGGTGTGCGGGCGGCGGGAGCGCGCACGAGGTGGGCAGGCCTGGGGGGGGGGGCGCGAGCTCAACCCACTCACCTTGGCCGGGGCCGGCGAAGTGGTTATAGTACTGGGACACGTAGGTCATGATGCTGAGGCAGTCGGGGACCCGCATGGACACCATGTCATGGGGGTCCAGGAGGGCAGGGATCCCCAGCTCCTTCTCGGCCACTTCAAAGGCCTGCGGGGGGGAGAGAGGAGGAAAGAGAGAGAGAGGTAGTGAGGGAGAGAGGGAGAGAAAGGAGAGAGAGAGAGAGAGAGAGAGGGAGGGAGGGAGAGACAGAGACAGACACAGACACAGAGAAACAGAGACAGAGACAGAGAGCAGGGGAGGGGTGAGAGGGGTCAGGGAGGCAGTGAGCGACACCCGGCCGGGCCCAGCTTCCCTCAGCAGCCCACGGGGTGAAGGAGACCAGGGCAGGGGTGACCAAGGGGTTCCCCTCTGCTCTGGCCCACATGACCCAGGAAAGGGGGGCCCCGGTAGCCCAGGGTACCAGGCCAGAGGGAAGCGGGGTGGCGAGAGGGACGCCTGCCCTTGCTGGACCTGCAGCCCAGCCAGCCCCTCAGCCCTGACCCTGAAGGATCCCCCCAGCCCCCCCACACTCCCGAGAACACCCCCTGCACACACATGCATATGCATACCCATGCACATATATGCACGCACACACACCGCCCAGGGGAGGACTCACCAGCCGATTATTCTCGAAGACATTGTCCTTGGAAAGCGAGTCAAAATCCCTGTGGCGGGGCAGAGAGGAGGGTGCTGATAAGAGGCTGGGACTGGGGGGGACCCCAGGAGGTGACCCCACCCTCACGCCAGTGCAGGGGCGGGGTGGGGGACTGTTGGGAGGAAACTGAGGCTGTCAGCACTTTGGGGGAGCTGCTGTGGCTGTCGGGGGGGACCTAGCTGAGGCTTGGGACCACTGAGCAGGGGAGAGTCCAAGCCCCTTCCCCTCAGGGCCCCCTGTGCCCTGGGGCTACTGTGGGAGCAGGTGACTGACATAGGGAAAGACTCAGGTTCCAGCCCGCACCCCAAGAAATAACCCCCCCATCTCGGGCCCCTTCCCCCAGGAGGCTACAACTTGGGAGGGAATGCTGGCCTGGCCCCTGGCCCTCTGCCCCACTGCACGGGGGACCCTCGGCCCCCTGCCCCGCTGCATGGGAAACCCCCGGACCCCTGCCCCGCTGCATGGGGGGCCCCCAGCACCCTGCCCCACGGCACAGGGGACCCCTGGTCCCCTGCCCGAGCTCCACTCTGTTAATATCCACCCCATTGCTCCGCTTGGCAGGGGTCACCCCGACTTCTCACAAGGCACCCCCCCCGCCCCGGAGCCACCCAGTCCCCTGGGAATTGGCATTTCCGGCCCTTCCAGTGCGGCCTCGACAGGGTGGGGGAGCCGCACCCCGCAGGCCTGGGCTGGGAACCGAAGAACAAGTTGGAACCGGACGGCCGGGCTCTGGTGAAGGGCCGCGCACGCAACAGCACCTTCTGGGTGGGGGGAGCGGGGAGCGTCGCCCCATTTCCAGGCCGGCCCAGGTGGCCTCCCCGGGGACCCTGGGCGGGGTCTGCTGGCTGGCTTCACTCCCTCCTGGCTGCTGTAGCAGCTGAAATGGGGGGGGGGGGAAGGGGACCCACTCCCCTGCATGGTGGCGGGGGCTGCAGCCGCCCCCAGACCTTGCCCTTCTCGGACCCTTCTAGGCGGCCTCCCAGGTCTGGGTCCCCCTCGGCTGCTCCAGGCCCAGCTCCGCTGCATGACCTTGAGGGCTGACCTTGGGCAAGCCAGGCCTCCCATCCGCAAGCCCAGGACCCTCCCGGCGGGCACGACGCCCCTACCCCCGCCTCCTCGCCCCCAGAACTTCAAGAACCCCGGGAGGGTTCCACGCTTGGTGGCACAGGGAGAGATGAGGGGACAGTGTCCTCCTGGGGGCCTCCAGGCGGTCTCCCTGGCCCTCTGCCGGGTCCCCCCACAACCTCCTGTCGATCCCCGTCTCCCCTGGGAGTGAGCTGAGAGCCCGGGGGAGGGCGGAGTGGGCCCTGGGGGGAGGGAAGAGAGGGTCGGGGCCCCCGGGACCCCCAGTTCCATGCCCAGCACCACCGGGTGTGAACCCAGAACAAAGCAGCAAGGAGAAGGGATCCCAGGAACTTTCTGTTCTGTCTGACTTTTTTGTTTCTTTGGGGGCCACACCCGGCGATGCTGAGGGGTTACTCCTGCTTCTGTGCTCAGGGGTCACTCCTAGCGGTGCTCGGGGGGACCCTATGGGATGCGGCGGATCAAACCTGGGTCAGCTAAGGGCACGGTAAGCGTGTCCCGCCGTGCCCTCTCTCAAGGGGTCACATTTTGTACCCCCCCCCTTCCCCATCACCTTCCCTACTTCCTGGTACTTAGTCAACACGCAGTAAAGGAGCAGCGGATGAAGAGATGCCGAAAGAGCCCGAGGGTCACAAAGCTCCCCCCAGGATACCCCATCCCTGCCCCAACTTCTTAGCACCACCCCCTGCACCCCCTTTTCCTGGGGACCCTCAGGACCTCTCACATTTTCCAAGAATGTGAAGCACCATTTAGCCCTGGGGAGAGAATAAAATCCACAGGCTCCCGGCCCTTTGAGGGGCGTCCCCAGGGGTGTCGGGGGGGGGTGGGAGGCTGGCGGGGCCCAGGGTCAATCCCCCGCAACCACACAGTCCCCAGCACTGCCAGGTGTGGCTCAAATAAAACCAGAAACAACAATCAAGTTACTCTGGAGCCTGGGAAATGAGTCAGAGGCTGAGCAGGGCTCCACATGCCCAGGCCTGGGTCAGTCGCACTGCACAGCCCTACAGACACCCCTGGGGGGGACCCTCATCCCTCTTCCCTGCTTCCAGCACAGAACCAGGTGCAGCCTCCAACACACACACACACACACACACACACACCCTTAAAGGGAACACTGCCAGGTGTGGCCCAAAAACAACAAAAGAAATAAATGATTCTAATTTTTGTTGAGGGAGGGCAGTGTTTGGCGGCCACGCCAGGCGATGCCCAGGGGTTACTCCTGCCCCGTGCCCAGGGGTCACTCCTGGCAGTGCCTGGGGGGCCCTATGGAATGCCAGGGATCAAACTCAGGTTGGCCGTGTGCGAAGCAAGCACACTGTCCCCTCTGTCCTAGAGCTCTGACCCCTCTGCACCCCTGTCCCCTCTCTCCTCGGGGCCTGACCTCCCCCGGAAATTCTGCCCCCCCACTCCAACACAGACTGAACTTGTGAGCCTCCAGATAATATTGGGGGCCATGGAGGCAGCTCGGGGGTCCAGAGTGCACACCTGGCACAAATGGCCCCCAAGTTTCACACCTGGCATTGCAGGCTGACCCACCAGCACCCCGAGAACAGCCCTGGTATCCCCCAGCACCCCAGAGGGCTGAATTGTGTGGCCCAACTCGCCAGGGGTCACCAGGAACGATCCCCAAGGCCCCGGAGCACTGTTTGGGAGCCCCCCAAATGCCAAAGGCATTTCGAGGGGCTGAGATACCTCAGGGGGAGGAGCCGGTTCCCCCACCCACCCGAGCACTACTGGTGTGGCACTACTGGGCCCTGAGCACCCCCAGGTGTGGCCCTGGGGGCCCCCAACACTGCAAAGCCTGAGTAGACCCCGCCTCCTGGGGCCCAGCGGTCAGCGGGGTGGAGACCACCACCAGGGCCCACGCGAGCACTGCTTAGGAGCACCCCATACACACACACACACACATACACACTACCAAGGAAAGAAAGTTCCAGGGGCCAGGGAGACAGGGCAAAGGAAAAGGCTGGAGCATCTGTGGGAGCCCAGGTTGGGCCCCTGAGCGTGTGCGCACACACACGTACACACATGCACACACACACACACCCCGGAGGAAAGAAGCTGGACCCCTGAGCACACATGGACACACCCAGGTTGGGTCCCTAAGCGCGCGCGCGCGCGCACACACACACACACACACACACACACCTGGAGGAAACAAAGTTTCAGAGGCCAGGGAGACAGTCCAAAGGGCTGGAGCATCTGCGGGGGCCCATGTGGGGCCCCTGAGCATACACACACACACACACACACACACACACACACCCAGGTTGGGTCCCTGAGCACACACACACACCACGGAGGACCCACGTGAGCACTACTTAGGAGCGCCCCTACACACACACACACACACACACACACACACACATACACACACACACACATCCCAGAGGAAAGAAACTGAACCCCTGAGCACACATACACACACACACACACACACCACACACACACACACACACACACACCCGGAGGAAACAAAGTTTCAGGGGCCAGGGAGCCGGCGCCAAGGGCTGGAGCATCTGCGGGGGCCCAGGTCGGGCCCCTGAGCATACACACACACACACACACACACACACACCCAGGTTGGGTCCCTGAGCACACACACACACCACGGAGGACCCACGTGAGCACTACTTAGGAGCGCCCCTACACACACACACACACACATACACACACACACACACATCCCAGAGGAAAGAAACTGAACCCCTGAGCACACATACACACACACACACACACACACCCAGGTTGGGTCCCTGAGCACACACACACACCATGGAGGACCCACGTGAGCACTACTTAGGAGCGCCCCTACACACACACACACACACACACACACATCCCAGAGGAAAGAAACTGAATCCCTGAGCACACATACACACACACACACACACACACACACACACACACACACCCGGAGGAAACAAAGTTTCAGGGGCCAGGGAGACGGCGCCAAGGGCTGGAGCATCTGCGGGGGCCCAGGTCGGGCCCCTGCGCGCTGCCGGGGGCTGCGCCGCCAGGTGCCGAGCCCGGGGCCCGGAGCCCCCGGGCCGCCCCGGCCCCCCGGCCCCCCGGCCGCCCGGCCCCCCGGGGCGAGGGGACCGTCGCGCGTGGGGGCAACGAATGGGGGGGCGGCGGCGGGCGGGCGCAGCGGGTCCGGGCCCGGCGGCCCGGGCGCGGGCGGGGCTGGGGCGACGAGGAGGGGTCCCGGGTCGGCCCGCGCCCCGCCCCGCGCACTCACAGCAGGTCGGGCCGGTGCCGGTGCAGGATGGCGCAGAAGGCCCGGCCGTCCCGGAAGGAGCCGCTGAGGTCGCGCACGTCCACGCCGTAGCCCTCGCACTGGCGGCGGCACCAGGCCAGCAGCGCGCCCCGCGGCCCGGCCATGCCGCTGCCCCCGCCCGCGTCCCCGGCCGGCCGGCCCGGCCCGGCCCGACCCGGCGCTGCCCCGACCTGCCCGCGCCCGCGCCCGCGCCCGCGCGCGCGCCCCACCCTGCGCGGCTCCGCCCCGCGCGCGCGCCCGCCCGCCCGCCCCGCCCCGCGCCAACCCGGGAGGCGGCGCCCACCCACCCCCCGCCCCGCGCCCCGGACGCCGCCCGCCCCGGGTTCGATCCTCGGCAACCGCCCCCCCAACCCCGGGGCATCCCCCGCGCACCGCCGGGCGTGGCCCAAACCGAAGCAAAACAAAGGCACAGAGACGGGGAGACAGACAGAGGCAGATACAGGCAGAGACAGACAGACAGAGACAGGGAGACAGACAAGAGACAGACAGACAGACAGAGACAGACAGACAGACAGAGACAGACAGACAGAGACAGACAGACAGGCAGAGACAAACAGACAGAGACAGACAGACAGACAGGCAGAGACAGGCAGAGACAGACAGAGACAGGGAGACAGACAAGAGACAGACAGACAGACAGACAGAGACAAACAGACAGAGACAGACAGACAGGCAGAGACAGGGAGACAGACAGACAGAGACAGACAGACAGACAGACAGAGACAAACAGACAGAGACAGACAGACAGGCAGAGACAGGGAGACAGAGACAGACACAGAGACAGAGATAGAAAGAGCGCCCCCCTCCCCCCACTCACCTTTTCTTCGGCTCCCCTGACCTCTGGACTCTGCCTTCCGCCCTCCCTGCCAGTCCCCCACCCCCTCTTCCTGCCAGATTCCCTGTTCCTGCCCACCCCATCCTCTGGGGAAACGGGGGCCGCCCCACACCCAGAGATCTCCATGCAGTTGTCACCCGGCTCTGGGAACCGACCTTGCCCCAGCCTGCTGCCAGGGGGGCTGGGCCCGGTTGGGCTCCTAGGGACAGTGCGTGTTTGTGTATCTGTGTTGTGTACTCGTTTTGTATGTGTATATGTCTCTCTGTGTGCTCTGTGCGTGCACATGGATGTGTGCGTGTGGATGTTTGTGGATGTGTGCATCTGTGTGTATGTATATCTGTATGTGTGCACATGTGTTTGTGTATATTCTGTGGATATATGTGTCTGTGAATGTGTGTGTGGATGTTTGTGGACGTGTGTATATGTGTATATGTACATCTGTGTTCTCTGTGTGTGTGCGCATGTGTTTGTGCGTATGTCTGTGGATGTGTGTGATGTCTGTGGATGTGTATGTATACGTGTGCATAGGTATCTGTGTGCTGTGTGCACATGTGTCTGTGGATATGTATTGCCTGCAGACCTGTGTGCATGTGTGTGCGTGCGCGCGCACGTGTGTGTGTGTGTGTGTGTGTGTGATTCATGCCTCCCTGCCTCCCAGCCTCATCCCCCCTGTGCTCCCAGCATGGAGTAATGGCTCAGGCCGCTCCTGACCTCACAGTGAATCAGCGCCCATGGGTCATGCTGCCCAGGCCTCAGCTGGGACAGGCCGGAGCTGCACCCTTTCCCCAAGAGAAGGAGCGAGGTGTGGTCGCTTCTGGCCCCCCTCGGCACCCAGAGAGAATGGCAAGAGCTCCAGCTGTGGTTCAGGCCGGGAGACGTCCCCGAGCCTCAGTCTCCACATCTCTAGAATGGGGATCATTCCTGCTCCGCACCGTGGCTGAGACGGTCACAGACGATAACCCGCAGGGCACTCGACCCTTTCATGCTCACTTAAAAATCCCGGACCAGGTAGCACTAAAGCACTGTAGCACTGTCCTCCCGTTGTTCATCGATTTGCTCAAGCAGGCACTAGTAACATCTCACAACAAATTGTGAGACTTGTTATTATTGTTTTTGGCATATCAAATACATCATGGGGAGCTTGCCAGGCTTTGCCATGGGACCCAGATACTCTCAGTAGCTTGCTGGGCTCTCCGAGAGGGGCAGAGGAATCGAACCCGGGTCAGCTGCATACAAGGCAAACGCCCTACCCGCTGTGCTATCGCTCCAGCCTCCGGGACCAGGTAAGCTGCACTAAAGCCCAGGGCATCCAGCTTGCCGCCTGGGCCTTGGGGAAGAAAGAGCGAGAAGAGCGAAGGGAACCTCTCCGTCCAGGGCCTCAGAGTCCCAGCCCAAAGTCACCGCGCCAGGCTGGCGTCTCAACTGGTTCCCTCTTGCCCAACCGGCCTCCTTCCCCCACCCCACCCCACCCGGCTCTCTGAGACTGGAGGCCTCCAGAATGTGGAATTCCCAGGTCTCATTCAGGCACCGCTAAAATAATCAATCAATCAATCAAAATCGAGAAGTCAGACGGACAGCCGGGCTCTGCGCAGGAGGCTCTGGGCCAGCCAGGAAGGGGCGAGCGTTAGCGCCTCTGGGCCCCGCCAGCCCGTTTGGAGAGCAGCTCCCGGAAGGAACCATGTGGTGTCTGGGCTCCTGCCCAGGCGTCCTGCACGCGCCCAGCCCCTGAGCTATCGCCCTGGCCCTGAGCCCTTCTTTCTCTCTCTCGGTGTTGGGGATGGAGCCCAGGACTCGCACGGCGTGCGAGCATGCGTCTCTGACCTTGGAGGGGCTCTCTGGACGCCAGACTCAGCCTCGGCATCCTGGCGGATGTCAGAACCCTCCTTGGCTTTAAAGATTGCAGGAAAGCTACTCGTGAGGTATTCAATATGCCGAACACAGTAACAACAAGTCTCGAGATGGAGACGTTACTGGGCCCGCTCGAGCAAATCGATGAACAACGGGAGGACAGTGACGGTGAGAAGTTTGTGGAGTTCATGCCCAATTCAGTCAGCTAATCAGTGGCTGAATAAGTAGCGGTACTCCTACATAAATAAAAAAATAAATAAAGATTGGGGCTGGAGAGATAGCACAGTGGGGGGGACATTTGCCTTGCATGCGGCTGGCCCGGGTTCAAATCCCAGCATTCCATATGGTCCCCTGAGCACCGCCAGGAGTGATTCCTGAGTGCAAAGCCAGGAGTAACCCCTGTGCATTGCCGGGTGTGACCTAAAAAGCAAAAAAAGAAATAAAAATTAAAAATAAAAAAGAAATAAAGGCACTGACATGACCCCAAGAGCCCGGGTTTTGCATGAGGAGGCCTGGATTCAGTCCCTAGCACCGCCTGGTTACCCTTGCTACCCCCAAGTAATTTTTAATTTTGGGGTCACACCCGGCAATGCTCAGGGGTTCCTCCTATCTCTGCACTCACTCAGAAATTACTCCTGCTCGGGGGGACCCTATGGGATGCCGGGGGTCGAACCCTGGTAGGCCGTGTGCAAGGCAAACGCCTTTCCTGCTGGACTATCACTCTGGCCCCGAACCAATAATTTATTAATCAGGCAATCAGGTCAAAATTACCAGGGACCAGGGTCATGGTTCAAGAGACTGGAGTTTTGAGGGGGCCCCTCATGCAGAAGAATTCTCTGAGTGTGGATTGAGTATGACCCTTAAACCAAAAGAACAATAATAGGGGCTGGAGCGATAATACAGCAGGGAGGGCATTGGCCTTGCATGTGGCCAACCTGGGTTCGATCCCTGGCATCCCATAGGGCCTCCTGAGCACCGCCAGGAATAACCCCTGAACACCGCTGGGTGTGACCCCAAAAGTCAAAAAAATAAAAAACCCAAACAAACAAGAAAAAGCAATAATAAAAATAAAGACCACCAGAAATGTCACTGCAACCCAGGAAGGATTTCATCCCTCCTCACCCTCTCTGCGGGGACTCGCTTCAGCTTCAGTTCCCTGAAAAGGCTGCAGCTCTGACTTGAGCCCGAGGTAGGGACCCAGCCTAGGGAGGCAGCGGGGCACCCTCTCGGCTCCTTCAGACCCATAAAGTCTGGATCTGAGTCACATCCGTGTGATGAGGTGTGAAGACTGCACCTCCCAAGGCTGCCGGCACCGTGACCGCAGGCCAGACAGCTCACCCCCAGTGAACCCCAAAACCCCAATTTCCTAGCCTGTAAGTGAGGGGATCATCATTTTGGTCTTGCCGACATCCCGGGGCTCTGGGTAAACAGATGAGCTCACGGGGCAGTGCCGGGCAGGCCATGGATCTGGGGCTCACTGGCGGGTGGGACAGTGTTTATGGGTGAGGTCAGAAACCGCGGCAGGTGAGTTGGCCCCAAACCATCATTTTACACGGGGACCGAGGGGGTTGGGATTCTTACTCACTGCTGCACTTCGCTTTTATTATTATTATTATTATTATTATTTTCGCTGGAGCGATAGCACAGCGGGTAGGGCGTTTGCCTTCCACGTGGCCAACCCGGGTTCGACTCTCCTGTCCTTCTCGGAGAGCCCAGCAAGCTACCGAGAGTATCTTGCCCACACGGCAGAGCCTGGCAAGCTCCCCGGGACGTATTCAATATGCCAAAAACAGTAACAAGTCTCACAATGGAGACGTTACTGGTGCCTGCTCGAGCAAATTGATGAACAACAGGAGGACAGTGCGCACAGGGATTCTTCCTGGCTCTGCACTCAGGAATCTCTCCTGGCGGTGCTTGGGGGACCATATGGGATGCTGGGAATCGAACCCAGGTTGGCCACATGCAAGGCAAGCACCCTACCCGCTGTGCTATCACTCCAGTCCCTGTTTTGCTTTATTTCTTTTCCTTTTCCGTGTGTGTGTGTGTGTGTGTGTGTGTGTCAGGAAAAGTTGGGGCCACACCCAGTGTTGCTCAGAGGTGACTACTCCTGTCCCAGTGCTCAGGAGAGGCAGTGCTGGGGGACCAGGGATTCAACCTGGGTCTTGTTGGATACAAGACAAACCCCTTCATCTCTTTTCTTTTGTTTGGGGGGCACACCAAGCAGTGCTCAGGGCTTACTCCTGTCTCTGTGCTCGGGGGTCATTCCCGGTGAACTCAGGGGAACCCTCTGGGATGTCAGGACTTGAATCCGGCTTGGCCGTGTGTAAGGCTGGTGCCCTACTTGCGGTCCTCTCTCCTGGGTCAGGATTCTTACATTCTAAAACAATGGTGCATGGGTCTGACCACTGTGCTTCCCATCCAGGGTGC